AGCACAAGACGTAGAAGCCAAAACTTCCTCTGCGAGTCGGGACGGTTGCCTGAGTAGCACTAATGGAACATCAGTCATGTTGTTCGAATGGTCTCACATGGTGGTTAGGCACTCCTCTGCAAATCATGGGTCTCTGTGACACCCAAAATGGCCGGTTCCCTCTTGGTTTACTTTTGAATCCAACCAAACAAGGGCTTTTGGGCATGTGCTTTTTTGGAGGGTACTTGTTTTTCGTGGTTTTAAAAGGACGCCACAAGGAAAATTGCCCATTTTGGACGGACGCTTTTCCTTCTCGGTAAACAAGGGGGGACACTCGGCACCTCGCCTCCGCCTCCTCCCGCTGCGCCAGGACACAGACCTGGGCCTGCCGGTCCGCCTGGGCAGAAACTCCATGGCTTCCTTGTCCTCAAAACTTGAATGAGAAATGGAATGACCCCGAGAAAAACCATCCAACTGGTGGCTTCCTTCATTCGGGAATCCCCTTCAGGTTCATTCCCACATTCCCGACAAGGAAAAGCATGCCCGAAGAAGGCCCGCACTTGACTTGCACTTGTTGTCTGCGTCACTGTCTGATAGCCCAATGAACAGTCCACACTTTTTGTGACACCAATCTGTACGGGGCTCCATGTCAGTTTGCACTCGAGTAGTTAGCCGTCGTTGATTTTGCCGTAAAACAAATTGTCAACCCCTGCAACAACTGCGCGTCCTTTTGGAAGCAAGCCGGTCAAGGAGGTTATAACCATGGTCGTAAGGGAACGTGTCAAAAGTAGAGGCCCCCCAATTTTGGAGCGGCTTTTGGACACAAACGCGAAACCAACGATTCTAAGGGGTCCCTCATTTTGACGCCCTTAGTGGCACTGGCTATCAAAGGAACTCAACCAGAGAAACCAACGAGTTAGCAAGCCCGAGTGGTGAGACATGCACATCCGAAGCGCCCGATTAGGGAGTGCTTGCTGAGCTCCCCAAGCAAGCCCACAGTTGCAAAGGAACGTATCTTATAAACAAGTTGTTGGTATAAGCCAATTGGGCCAAAACCTGCCCAAATGGTTTGGCGTGCTAAGAAACGTCACCAAAACAAGCAAAGTCGATGAGATGTTTCAATCGTTCAGTGTGATTCTTTGGATGCGGACGCCATGGACGCCCACAAACTGAAGGCCAATGCAATCCGGCAAGCATGTGTTTCACCTAAACCGATGTCAAGGGCTTACGTGCTATGCCTCAAAGGGTAGATCCCAGCATCCTTCGAACTCGTCCGCCAAGGAAAGCCACCCCCAAATGTTGCCAAAATGCCAAAGGGTTGTCTCCAAATGGACCCAAACTTGAGTGACCATAAAGGGAACCCGGTCAACCCCTATCCGACCACCACGAATCAACAAAATCATTCTTCTCCACTCTACCCTTCACCTCTGTGCTGATAGACAAGCAGATTACAAACCTCGACAGGAGAGCTGTGCCATTGACTTTCGCTCTGCACTCCTTGCCAAACTGTCCATGACCAGCATGGCTGAAAGGAGAAAGGGACAGCATCCCACTGGCCTCGCCTGAAAAAGTACAGCGAGCTCGTAGTGGGACACGCCGTGTGCATACTCCTTCCAATCAGCGGTGGTCAAGGATTTCTCTGAGCCTGGACACTGAAGCAAGAAATACAAAGCTCTTGCGAAGAGCAGCTGCGCCAAGTCAAACGCAAGAGGAACATCAGCGCAACAACTGAGCGACTCTGCAAACATGTCAGGAACCCCTGCGTCGTGAAAGGTTGCTTGTACGCGAGCGCTTTGCGTGCATGATACATGCTTTAGCTTACGCGGCAGTCAGCAAGCATGTCAAGCTTACGCTTTGCTTACGCGTCAGTGTTTTGAGCGCTTCCCCTCGCAGGCGATTCTTCTGTGCAGCCGCCAGAATTGCTCAAGATGACGTGGGTGACGTTGAGGAGGAAGCAGAGCTTACGCCGGTGCTTACGCGAAATGCTTCTCAAAAAGTGCTAATGCTGGCTTGGGCCGTGCAGGGCTTTGCTTAGACGGGGCCTTCCCATGACACAACTCTTGCTTGTTGTCCATCAACAGGAATCCTTGTCCAAAAGCCGAAGGGCTCATGACCATTCCGACTGACACCCATGAGCCAACGGGCTGTGCGCCATCTGAGGATTTCTGGAATCTTGTGCTTAGTCGGTGAACCATAGCAAGGACTTGGACTCCTTGAATTGCAACCACAAAAGTTGGGAGGTCGCTCATTGTCTATCTCCATATAGCTAACTTTGTTCTACTGGCCTGTGATTGATTCACAGTTATGTTTGGAGAGCATTGTCTTGTTTTCCCCAAGTCATCGTGAGTATTTTTGCCTCAAAAACCTAGGGGACCCTCCAAACATGTGGAGTGTCCTTTTTTCCCTTTAAGCCACCAAGGTGAAACGGGCAGCTTCAAAAACATACGCACACGCACAAACCCATTTCTGGATCAAAGTGGTTTCCCGTAAACCTAAGCAAACAACCTTAACAAACAAACAAACAAACAAACAAACAAACAAGCAAACAAAGCAAACCAACAAACAAAACAAACAAACAAACAAACAAACAAACAAACAAACAAACAAACAAACAAACAAACAAACAAACAAACAAACAACACAACCAGCAACCAACCAACCAACCAACCAACCAACCAACCAACCAACCAACCAACCAACCAACCAACCAACCAACCAACCAACCAACCAACCAACCAACCAACCAACCAACCAACCAACCAACCAACCAACCAACCAACCAACCAACCAACCAACCAACCAACCAACCAACCAACCAACCAACCAACCAACCAACCAACCAACCACGCACACACGCAAGCAAGCAAGCAAGCAAGCAAGCAAGCAAGCAAGCAACAACCCCCCAACAAAATAATAAAGAAAGAACAAAAAAGACACATGTAAACAACCAAACCAAACCAAGCCAGCACGCAACCACACAAACACAAACCCACTCACACACACACACAAACAAACAAACAAACAACGCCAACACACACACACACACAAAACACAGATTGTCGGCCTTCTTCACCTCCTTCACATCCTTGAGAAGAGCGTTGGCATCTGCCACAACCTGCCAGTGGAGCAGGGATATCCGCCCTTAGTAAGGACAGGTGAGGGCCTTTTTTCAAGGTTCGATCACGCACTGCCACGGAGAAAAAAGGCCACCCCGCATGTTCGGTGGATTCAGCCCTGTTGGTTTTCACAGGAAGACAACAAAAGAAACCTGTAGATGATGGTTAGTTGCAAATCACCGAGGGAAAGCTGAACTGCATGCCACAGCACTGGATGCCAACCGATAAGGGAACATAGTGCCCAAACATTGTGTTGTTTTGAGGGTGCTATTTGTAAGCCTGGTTGACGGGAAGCCAAACGAAAGCCGTTTGTGTGTGTGTGTGATTTTCCTTTTCTGGGGAGGGATTCACGCGTGTCCAAAATGCTCAACAACTAAAGCATTCAACTGATCTACATCTGCAACAGGTTGCTTACACGTGAAGGATGAGCAACGGTTGGAATAGGGTGGGTTTAGGGTTGGGTTGGTTTTGGATCTAGGGTTGGTTTAGGGTGGATTTAGGGTTGGCTAAAGGTTGTCTGGGGAACCACATTCCATTAAGAGAGATGGCCACCCTTTTGACACGGTCCCTCATAGCTTATTCACCTCTATGAAGAACAATCGCCAAACCGGACAGGAGTCCCCAGCCTTGAGAAAAGACTTACGCCCAGAAATCTGTGCGATGGGAGTGGCCAGTCTCTAGGCACGAAACGAGCAACTTCAAAGGCCCACCAGCGACGGTTGGGTCCCACAGCCCCAAACCCGACGTCCCACAGCCAGGAGGCTGGGCTTTCAATAGGGAACCCCAACACCTGGTCTCATTCCCAAAGCCAACCACAAAAGATCCCCAAAAAAGACGCGCCCGCATGTTGCCCTCGCTGGAAGGTCTGTGAGCAACAGTTGACCCACAACCGGATTTATGAAAGTGACATCCTCAACATTTCCCGAGCTCAATGGTGCTAAATGGTGCTACAGTAATTCTGTCTGAACCCCTCAACATGCAACCACGTTAAGGAACCCGGTGCAAAACACATCCACTTTAAGGAACCAGCCCAAGTTTTGTCGTGTCTTTCCGATCGACAATTCGCAACTCTAAACTTGCCTCTGAAGCAGACTTGGCAGCCTCCAGAAGCTTGTTTGCCTCGGAAATCTGCACATGGTTGTGGAAAGCTGTGTTTGAAGCCGCAGGGATGGCCAACTTGATGTCATAGACATATATTCTCCCACAACCATGTGTCTGCACTTGCGGACTTGTGAGGGAGCTGATCGGAAGGTGAGGGAAAACCATTTTCCTTTCTGTAACCCGATCGGTGCGCTTGCATTGGTGCAGCAATTTCTAGCCCTCGTTTCCTCCTTTTAGCTCTGGTCGAGTTGCTTGCGCAAATTCGAAGCTGGAAGTTTCCAGCGTGAGCTCTTATGCTCTTTGTTTCAAACCGAGAGGGACGTGCCATCCTATGCGTCCACATGCACAAGCTTTTGGATTGAAAAGACAGAGAACCATACCCGTGACACCATGGCAGGTGCAAATACGCAAACAAGAGCCACGGCCCATCTTTGCGAATGCTACAAGTCGCCAAGCTTCATGCATAGTAGAATATCTCTATATATATGTACATATCGCATATTTTTGGCTATGAATTTTCAAGTGTCTGACTGGGGTCTCTCAAAATTGTGGAGCCCTTTGGATAGCTCTAAAAGGAAACCAAAAGGAAACGACCCATGTTTGGGGATCCTCTATCTTGAGGAACACCCTCTTCAATGTTAATGTTGTCAGGATTCGTCAGGGCTTGGCGGTCGCGAACATGCGTCCGAGAAAGCAAGCTCACGTGCCCAGACTTGGAAGCACATACCCGCCCCCTTCTGCACATTGCTTCCTCACCCACAAAAGCAAGTGTGGAAAGGGCCCTTTTAAGGGATATTCTCCCCCTTAGGCGAAGATCCGATGCTCGCCCGAATAAGAAAGGCAACCCGAAAGCCGGGCCTCTTCGGTGCCTTTGTCTCGCTTCACGATCATGACCGCTTCATCCACCGCTCCTCGCCAACGTGGGTCCACCTGCCAGCTCGCTCCAACTTGCTTAACTTGCGGCTGGCTGAATAGCCTTTCCTGAGAAATTGGCCAAGCATGGCCCCAAACTTGTTGTTTGACACGGTGCTCTTGCCAAAAAGTAGGAGAAAACGATGGTCTTTTCTGTGCTTTAACATCTGGTCAATCATCTCAAGCTTCTTGTTGGGAGTGCTTCAACAATGCCCCGGTTTGCGTTTAACAACCGCCAAATACAACGATGCGTGCTGCATTGAAACGGACAATGTAGTGACAAAAGCCAGACTTGCCAGAGACAAAGCAAAACTGAGTTGCACGATGAACGGACACCCCATAATTACTTTCGGCAACTTATCAGCATTTCGTGGTTGGATGCAATGCAGTTGGGTCATTTGAAATGGGGGAGTTCACCTTATACTAACTTGATGTGGTCCAAAAGGAGATGCTTCTCTACAAATGATGGGCAGCCGGCAGCTTTGATAGCAAAGGAGCCAGAAAAACGACAAACATTAGACGCAATAGCAAGCAATATGAGCAAATCAATTCGCGCTCGCCTCACTTCTAAAGACCAACAACAAAATGATTTTTCCGTAAAGGCCATGAAAGTCTTGGAACATGAGAGGTGGCGGACTTCTGCAAGCATCCGACGGCTTTTTGCCATGGCCAAAATCCCGAGTTGGGGGGTGCTGGTTGTGGATTTCCTTTTCTGGCATCCGTCGAACTCCGGTTGCCTGGCTCTTGTCCTGCAGCTCTTTCATGGCCTGACGTCAAGGTCCCGGATGATAGGCCGTGACGCCCCTCAACCCAGTGACTTTCCATCCTTTGTCTTGTAACCAGGGGAACCACCCGAAAAAAGAAAAAAAGGAAACAACAAACAAACAAAAAACCAACAAAAACAAAAAACAAACAAAACCAAACGGACCATGGCTGGTTGCCTTTTGTTGTAACTTGGATCGCAAGGTTCTCAACTCCGAAGCACATCCGACACTTTTTGTAAGCGGCCCAACATGCCGTGCTGTAGCAACATTTTTAGGCTCTCACTCAGCGGAATCATTGGGTTGGCTCCCACGTAGCACATGCAAAGAAACAAAGTCGGCGACTCAAAAATATCGACCCTTTAGTTTGTTGGCTAGGGAAACCAAAAGAGAATCCAACCTTTTGCTTCGCCTCTTATGTTGAAAAAGACCCAGATCATGTCACCAACGAACGGTGCCGAGTAGTTGGTCTTGACAGGGCACATCTTTTCGAGTTTCAGCCGCTTCACATTAGTAACCGACAATATTTCCACTAAAAACCACTAGGGGCCCAACCAAAACCGATACGAGGGGCCCCACCAAATTGATACGGTGGAGGCCCTAAACATTACAAGTAAGGAAACAAGAGAAACTCTCTAATTTCATTGTACCATGGGATGAACCCCTAGAATTGTCGGGATGGACGAAACCCTACAAACAACCTACCAACTGGCACAGGATTGTCCATAGCGTCCGTTGCTCAATGCAGTTGGGCACTCGGGCACTCAGCTTTGGGAGTAGTTCTTCTCATAAACATGGGTAGGAATTGTAGGGGGCCATCATTTATTTACAAGCAATCTGGAGGGTTCCATCTTTGCCCTTAAAACATGACCCCACAGAAGAGCAGCCTCGGCTTGGCAACCAAAAGATGCTATCAAAAATAAAGCACACTTTTCCCCTCCCACCAACATCACCAATCAAACATGGAACCTGACTTGGGAGTTCTGAATGTGGCCAGGCTCCTCTCAAAGGGACGTTCCATGGCAAACTGGGCATGTGCTTTCTGAGATTTCCCGTTTGGGGTTTGGCTCAAAGGGAAACCGGAAAAAAGTCAGGGGTACCCCATTCTGATACATCATGCGGGGCCAAGCGACGCACACGTTCCGGCCTTCTCAAAGTTGCTTTCCACCGTCCTTGCGTCCACGACTCCGAGGCGGGAGTTCAGCCCAGCTTTTCATTTGACCTCAAGTGCCTGGTAAGCCAAAAAAAAAGGCGCTTGGTTCCATCCCCTAAAACTGAACAGAACCAGAACATAAACCAGCAAATCCATACCAAACACAGTCAAGTTCACTTGCTTTGGAGCAGATTTTGCAAAAACAACTCCTTTGTTTCCCAAGGCGTGGTGGATTTTTCAGTCGCCGAAGGGCCCAGGGATGGTTGATCTCTCAGGCCCACATTAGAATCTGGACTGGGGCTCCCAAGAGCCTCGCATATCCAAGAACCACGCCTTCCAACCCGATTCTTGCAATGTGTCTCACAATAGGTGACCCCCCGAAAATGGTGGTCTGCCTGTTGGTCCCATATGGTGGAACCTTGTCTAACCAGGAGGGCCCTACACTTCTCTACTTTGCATGTTCGGAGGACGAAGTGATAGGAGGTTGCCTTGCAATTGTCCTTCGTTCCTTATTTGTGCTCCATTGGTTTCACTTTGCATTGCAGGCTGCTCCGGTTCCATTGAGTGCGCGGCTCTTCTGAGCTGCTGCCTGGGATCACCACGCGGAAGATGTGCGCCCGGCCTAGCGCACGTCGAAGCGGTCCCGGACGTTGGGAACTTCCGAAGAAAGCATCGCGCAAAAACAAACAACTGTCACAAACACACAAACACGCAACACGCACACACATGCAACAACACAAACAACACACACACACACCACACCACACCACACCACACCACACCACACCACACCACACCACACCACATTACACCACACCCCACCCCACCACACCACACCACACCCCACCCCACCACACCACACCACACCACACCACACCACACCACACCACACCACACCTGCACATCCCACACACACACACACCCACCAAGACATACTTAAACACACACACACACACATTTTACCAGCGTAGACCCCAAAAGCCAATTGTAAGAACAGAATGATGCACTACGCAGGTCAAGCCAACAACAAATGTGTGTCTTCTTGAGGGACCGCCCAAAACTGTTCTCCTCTTGGAACACTCTTGCGCGGCGACAGTGAACATGCAGGTGCGCTAACAGGGAACACTCGTGCCAACAAAGGACACTTTTGTGTGCCGAGGAAAGAACCGTTTTTGCGCCCACAGTGAAGCTCTCTTGTGCGCCGTCGGTGAGCACGCTTATGCGCCAGCAAGGAAGGAACACTCTAGTGAAGGAACACTCTAGTGCCCCAACAGGGAACACACTTGTGCGCCAACAACGGACACTTTTGTGCGCCGACTCCAGGAGGTCGCCTATGAGGACCCACAATGGAAACCCAACATTTTGCGGTTGGAATTCTGAAGGACACCCTTGCAATTCTAGGGGACCGGGTGATGTCTCAAAGGGACCCCCAGTTTGGAGCGGCTGTCCTTTGGCTAAGCCATCCCCAACAAGGGATCGAAAGGATCCCCAAAAGCAAACCAACAAAAAAGTAACAGAAACAACCTAAACACCAACCAGACCGACAAATTCAAACCAACCGAACACAAGGAGGAAACACATAATTAAGCACCAGAAAAAACCAAACGGACGGAAAACCACAGAAACACCTAAAAAACCAAACCAACCAACAAAAACCCAACCAACCCAAAAAAGCAACACACCAACCTCCCATTTTCCCATTTCTATCCAAACCAAAGGCGCTCCAAAAGGAAACACAACGACCACCGGGCGGGAATCTTTGGTCTCCGGGCCGATGGCCAGTCGGTCCCCGCTCTCCAGGTCACTGCTGCCCTCCTCGACGTGGATCGAGGGAGAGAAGGACACGGAGCTGAACAAAACCACCCGACTTTTGGTGGTTTTCTGAAAAACATGTTGACACCACCTTAAAAAAAAGAAAAGACAGTGGGAGGGATTCTCGAAATGGACACCGAAAATGGGAGACCGGAAGGAAACCCTTGCCAAAAAAAGGCCTATTTTAGCAAGCAGATAGCTTTGAAGAAGCCAAGCAAACATTGGCTTCCCTTTGAACCAACCCCAAAAAGGGTGCCAACTCAAAGAATCATGCGACAAACTATTCTCCCGCGGTTTTTCTTTTGCGGCGAGTGGCTTGCATGCGCCAAATGGCCACGAAAATGTAGCCAAACCTCAGAGGGGTATAAGCCTTGGACTGTGTATGCTGCGTACTTTTCAGGTGGAACCTCCGGCGTCGTTTTTTAGGTGACCCGCCCAAACAAACATGTGGCTGTGCTTAAAAAATCTACCAAAAGGGGGTACTCGCAAAAAAGACTCTGAAGAAAAACACATACTCTTTGCGTTTGATGCTACACTCCTTCTCCGTGCAAGCGATCGCTTCGAACCGGTTTCTTTGAACCTGAACTGGCCCCCTGAAGAAAGGGCGGACTCGGATGTTGAACCTGCGTAGGTTATCACACTGAGTACAAGTCAACCCCGGTCCCACTACAAAGAAGGCTGAACATCTGTGTCTCTTTTTTTCGGACTCGGACCCTCAAAGTGGACGTTTTCCAATCGGCATTGGTTCAAAAAAAAAGCCCAACAAAGGGGGCTTGCAACTCAAAAGAACCCACACAAGTGGGTGGTGGCAACGCCAACTCAAACAAAGCCGAGTCACATCCAACTGACCGAATGCCCCCGGGCATCCCGGCCACTTGACACCCGTTCACGCGGACCAAGGCATCTCCTAGGCGCTCCACCTGAGACGAATCCAGCGTCTAAGTGCCGCCTTTGGCCGCACTGTGGATGGTGTCGAAATCCAGAAATCGCACCACCTAAAAGACCCCGGTTTCTGATGCTTCCCCCTGTAAATACCAGCAAACAATAGCTTTCCATGGTTGCAAAGTGGTAGTGGCTTCGTGTGTCATCCATTCGAAATACGTTTTGTCCGTCCACGAATTGCAAATACCATAGCCAAAGGTTTTGTTTGCCTCACTTGTGCCTTGGTTTGTCTTCACTTCGCCTTTCATACTGTGGCCCAATTGGTGCCAAGTGGATGTTGCTCATTGATCTGCAAATAGTACGTTCCAAAACCTGTGCTGCCTCAGTTTAATGGACCTTCATACTGCGCTCGTTTTACCGGGATGAAATTTTGCGCCCAGCAACCCACACTTCGCAACACAATGTAAATACTCACAAAACATGAGCCTAGGTCTTACAACCATTAAACTGGCCTTGTCACAATGAGACATCCGAATCGGAGTTGAACTCGTGTCCCACTAGAACCAAAGTCAACTCAATGGAGACAGGATCAAAGAAGCCCATTTCATAAATTCGGCCCATTTCTGGCTCAATTCCGATGTTTCCAACATGCAAAGGGAGCCATGCAGAGGTATTCAAGAAACCAACATGTCTGAACTGGTGATATTTGAGGCAATGTCGACCCCGGATTTCTTGTTCCCAAAGTGGAGGCTCTCCAAGAGAGAAATCACATTTATTCAGCCAGAGTTTCCCAAAAGGTGAAGGTTCTCCTCTATGGACAACATCCACTTCGCGTCCGTTACCACGGATGAAGCTTTATGAAAATTGTGATGAACCAACTACCAACTGTTCCAGAGAGGATTTTGTCCATCCATTGACAAAATAAGAATTGGATCAGAGATTTAAAGGACCTACCTACATTCTGGCTTTCGCCCGATTTTCGCCCGAATCGGTAAGCTTGCCATAGCATATGTCTAAAGCAATGGGTACGAAGCCAACAGAGGCCTGGGCAGGAACACCCCTAGACAGGGCACCCTCAAACATACGAACACACATGGCTGTGGGTCAAAACCAATGGTACCATTTTGGGGTAGGTGATTTCACCACCCATTTTAGCCTATTTTAGTGGTTGGATTGGGATGTTCACTGGGGGTACGACTTGGGTTTTGACCCATGGCCACATACCTATGCAAGCAGCATGCATCCCCGTTCATCCGCCTGCATCTTCTCAGGCTCTTCTGTCCCTTCCTTCTCCTTCTCCCGCGTGATGACACCTCAGAGTCTCCCGAGGGAAAGCTGAGGTGGATCCCAGGCCAACCTCACGGGAAAAATCGTGTCCAAAGGCACCCTTATGTATCTGTGATTTTGGCGGCCCGATTTTCCGTAGAATATATCCAGCGGTTGGCTTCTATGACTTGTGGTTCAATTGGTGATGAATGACTTGTAAACGGAAGACTCACTGGGATAACCCAAAGAAGCCAACAGGGTTGCTCCAAAATCCCTGGCAGGCACACATTTGGCCTCTAAAATGGGAAGGCGGTGGATCGTGGTGCTAAAGTCGTTCATCTTGTTGTCGGTCCGCAAATTTCCGCTTACAGGCTCAGGTAGGTCCTTGGTCGTTTTGAAACAAGTTCCGGAATCAACCGAAAAGCGAGAGGGCTCACAAAAGTGCAGGGCTTCATTCTCGGCTAGCAGCTTGGGCTGCGTCCTAAAACCTTGGGTTGTCTGAACACATTTTGGGGGAACTCACCCCAACCCCCCCCCACCCCTCAAAAGGAGGGAAGACTCCAAAGGCAAACTGAGGAACCCCTACCCAAAATGGGTGGCTTGCCTTTGGATGATGTTCAACCAACCTTCAGAAAATCCCCTGACAACGAGGTCATAAGGCCAAACACACGTACGTTGCGAGGCTTGAAGCGCGAGTTTGTGGCGCTACTTTCTCTCCCGCAAGTCGACCCCGGAGCCCAAAAACATGGCCCAAACACCACACACAGACCCATGTCGGAGGAATCTCCTTGCCCCTTTTGGATTTTGCGGGGTTTTCCTGTTGGTTCCCTTTACCCTCCCACCAATTCACAGGGAACCTGACAGGGGCTCCCTTCAGGAAAATGGGTCCTTGAGTCTGCGACCGAAGGCTCCACGTTTCATGGGACTCAAAGCCAAACCAGCGGACTCGCCACACGGCAGACGGGTCCGTGTGCGCTGGGGCGCACGGCAGACCTCTTTGGCCACCTCCACGCCTGTGAGGCACACCTTGGAAAGGACAGCGAGGCGCCGAGGTTCGGAGGCTGTGTTGGATGTTGTAAAGGGGTGCCGTTTGTTGGACTTCTTGGGGTTTGTGGCGGTTTTCTTCTGTTGTTTTGCTTTGAAGGAAGCCACCAGGAAGACCACTACTTGTTTTGAGGAAGACTACTCACTACTAGTTTTGGGGGGAGGCCCTAAATTAATGGTACACGCCGAAGTCACCGGACACAGAGAACTAAAGGTTTCTCGATTACGGGTTGACAAAAACGAATCCCATCGACTAAAGGAAACTAGACAAAGGGAAACACCTGCATGATTTTGGTTGAAACGAATGGGTGTTTGCTTCTTTTGGAGTTGGTACGCTCGTTTGGGGGGTGGTTTAAAGGGAAGCCAAAAGGGGATCACCCGTTTTTGGGCCCCTACATTCTGTCCGGCAGAGACTGTTCATCCTTGCGGAAAGTTACTCACCAACGCCAGATCTGAGCCAGCATGTAACAATCAAAAGCGTCACCACTTTACAAAGGCGCCGGTGCTTGTGACATTCTGCACATTTTGATCACCGCTCTCTTCCGAAGCCTGATCCTGACGCCCATCAACTCCAAGTCCCGAAACGATGTTGCCCCAAAATATGGCCATGGGTCAAAAGCCCGTACCCCCAGTGAACATTCTAATCCCCACTAAAATAGGTTTTACAATGGGTGGTGAATTCACCTACCCCAAAATGGGATCCCATTGGTTTTGACCCACAGCCATATGAATTCAATTGGCCTATGAGGCTCCGACATTGCACTTCTCGAAGTCGGCGCCGATCCGCCTGAGAAACGGATTCCTTTCAGAAGGATTCCTTTTGGTTTCCCTTCAAAGCTATCCGACGAACACTTTCTTTGCCGAGCTTTGGCTGAAAGCCCGCTGTCCCAGAAGCGGTCGTTTGGGGAGAGGGCTTGGATCAAAGATGCTCTACCAGCGACCAGGTAGGCGTCCAAACCGCATGCTTCACCATGCCGTTTGTTGCCCCTCTGGAAATGGGGCGGCCACCTGGGCTTGTCCCCAAATTGGTTGTTTTTTTTGCTTGGATTCCTGGTAAACCAAAAACCAAAAAAGGGGTTCTCCCAAAATCTCCTTCAGGGTTCCAGTAGTTTCCGACACACACACATGTCACCACCAACTCCAAAAGGGACCTTACTTCAACTTGGCCCTTCTAAAACTACCGTGCCCCTGCAAAAATCCTGCTAGCTTCTTCCCACTTTAATGGAAAGTTTGGATACTCCCGCCTCCTTGGCTCCAGTACCACCTGGAAAAGGTTCCCAAAGAAGAGCCCTTGGCTTGCTTGAGGCTCAGCAACAAATTTGCCCTTTGCAGGCAACCATCTCGCAAAGGACGACCAGCCATGACAAAGGATCGGCATCCAGCTGGCTGACTTCTGAGGTTGAAAATAATAGTGGTCGCCTGGTGGGAAGCAATTGCGGGTGTTCGCATGAGCTCAGCCTTATTGGTCACCTACCTACTGGTTTTCGGTGAGCCCCATGGCCCGTCTCCCTCTGGGCGCAGCTCGTCTCGCCCAGTGGCAAGTAGATCATGAGGCAGCCCTGGATCACGCGGCTTGAAGGTGCGCAAGCGTTTTTTTTTTTTTTGGCCTCGATGTCTTTTTCTGGTCGGTTTAGTTGAGCATAGCATTTGTCTCTGTTTGGTTCCAACAATTTACCCGATGGCAAGGTCTTGTGTTCAAAAAGACACCCCGCGGTGGTTGCTTGTCGGTAGGGGCCTAAAGCTTCGAGTTCATCGCGGGTCTGAGACACGACGACACCGGCGGCAAAACGCTTCAAGAGCGCCGAGATTCTAGTTCTCCCTTCCCGGTCCGTCTCAGCGGAAGGACCCTGTTTACCAGTGGTTGGTCAGACCCCCACCAAGAAATACGTACTTGTTAAAAAGTGCTGAGTGAGAAGAAGCCCTTAGACACACATGCGGTGTGTCGCGACACAGCCAGAAGTCAGCTGCAAAGCCAATGACTTTCAGTTTCTGCGAGGGAGCATCTCAATTCAGTCTTTGACCCCAAGACAGAAAAGATGTCAAAAATTGAACTGGGTCTGTTCTTTTTGGGGTACCTCTTTTTGGTGATTTTAAAAAAGGAACACCACTATTTTGGGGACCCCAAACAAAACAAAAAAAGATCCAACTAAAGATTAATAACGTCCACTCCGAAAGCCTGCGCCAAGCCTACAAGAAAGATCGACTGGGAAACCAACGCGTGTCAGGGATGAGTCGACACCAAGCCAAGCTCATCTGAGACAACTACGCGAATTTGGGATGGTCCCCATGGCCTCCCCAAGTAAACCATGGACTACCAATGTTGGATACTCCTGCCCCGAGCAAAAGACGACCCCTTTGCTTGAGTTTGGTAGGGACCCCGCCGCCACGAGTTGGCCGAACCGAAGCGATGCGCCTCCAGGGATTTGTCAGGGTTCATGTTCACCAAATACGGAGTTGTGCTGCTGTCCTACCCGGATCGAGCAGAGACCAGGCGAATTCTGGCGCTTGGACCTTGCAAGCCCTGTGTCCTCCCCCCCCCCAAAGGCATGAGCTCATGAGAATTATTATAACGCCATGCAGCCCTTAAAGATGCACAGAAACACACGAGTCAACAACCTAAAAAGGAGAAGAAAAGCAACTTGTCTGAGCCTCTTGGCCTTCGTGGGAAATGTCGTCCCCCCAACGCGCCTCCCATAAATTTACCTTAGACCGCGGATATTTCACTGATGTAGACTTAACTTTCAGCAGGAGCCTTAAAAGCCTTGAAGGGTTTAAGGGATGCGTTGCCACAAACAAAACAAGCAAGCAAGCAAGCAAGCAAGCAAGCACGCACGCACGCACGCACGCAAGCAAGCAAGCACAAATCCGAGGAACCAAACAAGCCACCGAACAACCAACCAACCAAACAAACAATGAAACAATCCATCAATCAAGTCAAAACTCTCAATCAAATCACATCTAATCAAGTCAAACACGAGAAAGCACGCAACCCAACCCAACCAAACCGAACCAACAAGCCAAGCCATCCGACAAACAAACCAACAACCAAAAGAAACAGGGTCTCTGGGTTGTCACATGTTGTCCTGCCAGGGGGTTTGGTGTTGAGGTTGCATGGTGTCAGGTGTTGGATTTAGGATTTCAATGGGTCTTCATTGTTTTCATTGGGGGCTCCAGGGTTTGACGCGCTCCTGGCTCGCCACATCAGGAAGCGCTGTCTCTCGAAAGATGCCGAGCCGAGAAAACATGTAAGCAGGTCCTCAGCAACCACCAAATCAGCGGCACATCCGAAGCAAACACCAAGATACAGCAAGAAAGCACCCAGAAAGCACCAGAATCAGTGGAACAACTCAGAAACCACCAAGCAAGATCTTGAAGAAACATAAGGCGGAACCTGGCCACAACTGTTCAGGCAAGTTCACCAACCACAGACTGTGAAGTAATTGTAGACAACCCTGGCTTGTTCAAATGTGCTTCTCCTTGGAATCCGGGGTTTAAAATTTCTCCCAACTTGCCATTTTTTTTTCTTCTTCAGAGGAATCAAGAGCCAAGGCTAGCGTTCGGATGCTGAACCGACCATTTGGCTTGTAGCTTGATAAGCCCGACGGGGTCCCGCATCGTGATTCGCAAGGATTAATGGCTGGGATTGCCCGTTACTATCCCTCATCTACCTGGGTTTTGATTGTGGCTCAACTGGTCTCACTTGGGGCTCAAACCTCCCAGCGAGTCAGCTCGCAAGGAGCCGACAAAGAACGCTGTATACAACATACTCCTTGGGGATGTGTCAAAATTGGACTCCACTTGGTGGCTTTCACCCGTCAACCCTTCCCCAGCCCTCCGTCCTCGAACGCCTCGAGTCCAGCAATTCCGAGCCTGAGCTCGCGATTTGCGAGCTCGGCGCGCGCAAAAAAGGCGACCAGCCAAATGAAATGATATCTAAAAAGGTTCACACAAAACTGTCATCTTGCACCAAGAGCAATACGGGTATGGGTCAAACTTAAAGCACCAGGGGACCGCAGGTTTTCGTCATGGGTTCCATTTACTAGGGTTCAAACATGGTTCCCAAATGGATACCCATTTTTGACCCACAGCCATATAATGTTTTTTATTTGGACATCATGGATCGTGAGCTCGTCTTATACAGCCAGCTCGTGGTATTTGTACACCAGTCTTCTCTTGCTCCCCAAACCATAGATCCGCCGTATAAGTGCTTTCTTTCCCGAAGATTGGGGACCTTCTGGTCATCCCCGACCTAATCGACCAGTACCTTAGTCAGCTGGAACTGAGCCCCAGGACTTCTTCAGGTGGTTGTCCCTCTGCATCTTGTGCTCCTAGTGACGCACAGCTCTCGCTGCGAAAGATCAGGCCTCCTTACGGCAGCCGGTGGTAAATCTGAGCCAATTCATATAACTTCGCAAAGGGAAGGCCTCAATATGAGGGACCTGTATCAATAGAACCAAGCTCAAGGGGATCCAACCCGGCTATCTCGCCTGGTGGGGTTTCCAGAGAGGGGAGAAGGGCTTTGATCATAAACCGCGTCACCTACGTGGCATCAACTGTGGGCCTTCCGGCAGATTCATGAAGGGAGACTGCACCGGTCGGGAGCTCCAACCGATTTGGATGCTCCTTTTTTGGAACCACCATTGGAGCCAAAGCTTTGAAATCACAACCCGGACGAAGCAGGAAACAGCACCTTTCAATCCACTACCAGGTGGAACATGTTGGAATCCAAGCGCATCCAAAACCTCGCTCCCGGAGTGGATTCGCCAGAAAAACTCTCAACTGTTTGCCTAGCACCAAGCTGGTCTTTCCAGATGAAAGTCCAGGAGCTCGTGAGGGAAGACCTGGTCTCAAGCCAAAGCGTGAAACCGTGCCCACAGGTCGCCAGTCCTGTGCTTTCTTCTCCATATCAGCTTGAAAGCCTTCGGCGGCATGGGAACTGGTGATCATTCTTGACGGACAAAATCCCGGGCACCGCCTCTCCCAACCACTTTGGTCACACCCCGCTCCCCTTTTCAATGTTGTTGGCTGTCACAAAACTCAGTGCAGGATTTCGGTCATTCCAACATGCTTGCAGCAAGAGCCCCTGAATTTCTATTGTACAATGGGGAGCGCGAGCTTTTTTTGCAAATCATGGCGAACGCGGTGCAGGATTTCGTCCGTCGATAGTATCTATCTCCCCTGTGTAACATGGATCGACTTCCCTCTAGTTGGCGAATTGAATTGGTGGATTGGAGAATTGAACCCCTGGTTCTGGTAGAGGGTACATGGGAAACCACCGCCTATTTTCCAAATCGCCAAACCACCAATTAGAGGGCCGGAGGAAAAAAGCACGCCCCGTTTTCGAGGAAATTCTTGGTGGAACCCTTTTTGGGTGCCATGTTAACTGCCTGGTTCGTGGCCGGTTGAGAGTTTGACAGCGTTCAAAAAAGCAGCCTTAAAAGGGCCGCCTTACAGCAGGCTTGGCGCGCTTTGAATTTGCTGGTTGCTAACCCAGCTCCGTGCTGGCAAACCTCGACATTCTGCTCCTTTGCTCATTGATCAGTGGTTTAGTGATTTTATTGGCCATCCCAGAGTTCGCTCGATCCTGAAAGCCAGTCAAGCATCAAAGGGAGGTTCAATCAATTGGCGTTCCCTGAGCTGAGCGGCAATTCCTTCAGGAACAAGCACATTTAGTAAGCACGTTTCTCCCCAAAAAAGTCCACACTTTTGATTTTTTACACTGGTCTTCACGAAAAGTATAACGAGGAACTCAGGAAGAAAGACATCGAACAATCGAGGGATTCTCATTCGCCTTCTGACGGCGTCTGGTTTTGGTCGACTGGGGCTCCAGCTGTCCTTGAGGTTTTCAAGGCCTTCCGCCTTGTTCTTTAAGTCCTCACGGTCACCCGTTGCAAAAGCAGGCAACTCACGGTGTTCATTTGTTTTGCTTTTTTCGAGGCTCTCTTGCGTACCAGAGAAATGGAATCACTGGGAGATAACAAATCGACCCAAAACGATTGGCAAATTGAAAGAAAGCGGGGACCCTTGACCTTCACTTTCCCAGGGATTGATTTTGGCTCCTTTGACTTGCGACAGGCAAAACAAATGCATGGCATCCAATGGGTAATGTTTGGGGCTAACCAACATACAAGCTTTATTTGGTTGACCATCTAATTGGTCAGGCCCTGATAGTACATCAAATCCAAGAGCCAAACATGGACAAACGCTGCAATAGCTGCAAATGTGGAACACACCCTTTGATTTACCGGGATCCCAGGTCCTTGTGGTTAACGCCAGTGATGTGATGAGCTGGACAGTTGAAAAAGCACGAAGGGATCCATGAGAATCCCATGAACATCCCCCGCCCCGGCGGTCCCTCTCGCGCTTCTCGCTTTCTGTCCTCGGCTTGGCAAGCGGACAGCTCTGAATGAGGCAAGTCGTGCACTTTGGATTGAAGCTGCTTCATGCAGATAGGAAACCAAACAACCCCCCCCCCCCCAACGCCCACGGAAAGATTCTGAGAACCTGCTTAGAAGGGGCTCGTCTTAGAATGGTTCTCTGAGAGCCTTCCAGGTCCTAGTGCCTTTCCTGCTTTGTATCTTGTTTGAAATTCTAAACCCAAGCGCTCTCACTCGTGAATGGGCTTCCCACGGAAAGGTGCCAACAAGTGAAGCACAATGCATGAGTCAAATCAAGCCCAACACCTATCCGACAAGACTCTCATTTTCATCTTCTTGCCAGCTGAGTGCCTGGACTAAACAAAAGATCCGTACCAATGTAACAATGTCAAAACGCATCTATGCCACAAGGTTCCCCTTTCTGGCGGTTGAACGTTTCGCCTGTCGCTTGCCATTTGGAGAATGAGCTTTGGGATCGGAGATGTGGGAAAAGAGAGCAAGTGAAAAGTTGTGATAGCGCCCTGCCTTTGTTTCGAGTTGTGCCAAGGGGGTCCTAGTTGTGACACATGAGGTTCGCTCAAAATTACCAGTAGTCTGTGGTCCATTTCGGAAGGACATGGAAAACTCATTAAATTTCCCCGCACAAAATCCAGGGGGCTCACTAGTTGTCTCATGTCATTTCCGGCTTGGGGGGAAGCTATGTTTTTGAACATGGCTCAAATTCACAAGTGAACATGTTGCTGAAGGCGACCGACATGCGCACTCACACAGCGATTGCCAACAAGGATTGTGCTGACAAATACAAGTGACTGAACAAAAGCAGTCGGTGAACGGTGTGAAAGAGCAACCATGAGGACGTTGGGGAATCAATGACCCGCAACTGCATCGTCCTCCAAACCAGTACCCTCTTTACAACAATCTTGGAGGCCTATCGTCAGCTTCCATTGGAGACGGGGAAGATGGATGCAAACCCGTCTCTTCTCGACTTTGAGCCAAGTGGCAGTGCCTCTTGGAGGAGCTTCCGATTTCTTTCCTGACAGTATCATGCCAATTTCAGCCTTTCGAACGACTTGCATTTGGTAAGGCCATCATGAAACATGCCTATCCACTGCGCACGCATTGTCCCACACCCACTGACAGCACAAAGTGCTCTATGTTCAGAAATGCTACAGTTGGGTGAAAGTACATGGCACAAATTCCCCTACTTCGGTTTGGTAATCCTCTTTACTTTCCCACTTGTGCCATCACCCTGTACTCTGAATTTTGGCTGGACGCACTGGTCCACAAGGCTAGTGCTTACCCATTCCTGAGGAATATCATGCTCAAGACCGTGCTGAGAAAAGCTCCCAGTACACCTGGCGTTCAAGCACTGTGAACTTACCCCTGACTAACTTAATGCTCGGAACCCTTCGAGACTGGCGGGTATCGACGGAATCTTCAAGCTGCACATGTGAAATTTGTCAATAGGGTTGGCCCGAACATTGTGAGTTTCCTTTTGGTTTCGGTTGACACCAACCCCACCCAAAGAGCAAACGCAATGGTCAGTTCGCGGCCGGCGCGAACTGTGAACCAAAGAGTGATTCCCTTGGTTGCCGGCGGAGGGAAAAGGAACCACTGGCCAGACGTGAAGGTTGGGAAAAGAAGAGGTTGAGACCCTGAAATGAAGCCAACAATTGTTCAGCTGCTCTCATTCCCTGAGAACCAGTTCAGGAACTAGGGAACTGAACATATGGAGGCCCCCACAGGTTGCAAGGAGCGAGGGAACCCCCCAACCTACTCGACCATGGGTTTGCTTGAGTCTGGTTTACCCAACATCTTTTATGCCGTCCGTGCCGTACTTATTCGTACTTATTGAGTGGTTCAAAAAAATTCATGAACACAAAGGGGGGTTCATTTAACAAACTTCACCATGATTTACCGTGGAGTTTCATCCTCCAGTCCCAAAGCCCATTCTTTTGTTTGGGCCAAGTTGAATTTCTGGGGTAAGGTCCTCCAGTGGAGAGCTCAGAACAAGGGTGCGCCTCTTTTTTCGTAGTGTATTTTAGGGCAACCCTTGCCCCCAAAAAAGAAACGGTGAGAAAGGGCACCTATTGCTGGGGGACCGATTTGCTCCAGGCGCGCGTTTGAGTCGCCGTTTAGCCGGACCCCGCGCCTCGCTGGCGCGCTCGGCCTCCAGGCGCTGCCTCTCCTCCTCCTGCGGCCGAAGCCGAACCCCGCAACTCGCAGACGGCTTTGGGCGTTCCGTACGGAAATAGTTTTGTTTGGACCTGGGAGAGAGCAGTGCTTGGCAACCAGCTGAAAGGTAGCAACAAGTGCGAAAGTTTTTTTTTCTGCTATTTTATTCTTAGAATGAGGGGTGATGGATGCCCATTTTGAACATGTTCTTTAAACCAACGTGAGAAGGGGTGCAACTCAGATAAGCAAACATTTATGCATGCATATCTATGTGTATAATACACTTTCATATCATGCTCCAAAAACGGGACTCAGGAAACAGCAAGAAACAGGATTCTACGGTTCACTTCCAACCGCTCTGAGTCATGGGATCCAACTCTCGCCAGAACAAACATAAGCAATAACACATATTGGGAACCGCTGGCTTTGGAAAATAACGATGGTTGGAAACAAGGATCATCAAACATTCAGCATACTGTGGATGGACAATGCAACCTTATTCATAGGGTTTCATCCATCCCAACTGGTGCAGGAACTTGTCCGTCCACCATAGGGAAACCGAAAGCGAGGACTGCAAAGCCCACGCAAACAACCTGGGCACTAGGGTTTTGCAGGGTTGCTTTCATTTGACTGTATCAGGGTCGAAAGCTGGCTCATCGTTTTGAGGCTCGAAAAAAAACACGATGTTTGGTTGTTGGGGCGTTTTTAAAGGGGCACGTGGCGCCACCGGGCAGGGGATCAAACAGCTCAGAGCAGAGCAGTCCAACGGCTGTCTCGAGGCCAGCGACGCCTAGTGCGGCATGTTTCGAATCCCCGCAACTTCTGCATGTTTTCCACCAGCTCTCGCTGGCGTCGAATTCCAGCTCGTCGGCCAGAGGCGACCTGGAAAGCGTCCTGAGAAGATTCGCCCCTCTGCGGCACATCTCGACATGCAGCTTCACGCTCTTTTCGAACTGCCGGAAGGTGAGCTCTGGCTCTGATCCGACAGAGTTTCGGGTTGGTCAACCTGCCATGAATCTTTCCCAGCAGCTCCGCAACCACTTTTAATCACTCAACGCGCCGCTCGCGATTCCATGTTTAATTCTGATGCGAGGAAATCCGTGGGGCCACATGTGGGATTAACCTTGGCTTGAATCCAGAATGCATTTTCTTTCTCTGCAAATTTGTTTATCCTTTGTCTCTCTCTCTCTCTCTCTCTCTCTCTCTTTCTTTCTCTCTCTCTCTCTCTCTCTTCTTGATACATCTATACGTATGTGTATACATATATATATATATATATGTACACCTATACATATCCGCCTCTTCCTTCCGGCTCCACAGACCCGAACGGCACAAGGCTAGAAATTCGGATCCGGGTGACCGAGAACCTGATCAGGCCGGAAGCTCGGCAACGAACTCCGAACCGAAAGGAACACCTCTAGCCAGAGCAACCAACCCCAGTTTTTTCATGTGGATGGACAAAATCCATGGTTGAAACCATAGCGTTTGTTGCTATTTACAGGGGGAATCATCAGACACCAGGGCTTGGGTGGTGCAGGATTTCGTCCATCCACAGTCGGGGGCGTGTCCCTGGCTTTAGTGGGGAATCACTTTTGAAGGGCCCGCACCGCCCTACTAGGACAGAGTCAAGACAGACTTCACCCTGCGGTTCCCTTTTTGGGGGTGATGAACCACCGCTGGGTTTTTCAGTCTACCCTGCGGGTAGTCAAGTGGAACCTTGACCACAGGAACTTCCATCCTGGAGCTTGGTTTCTGTTGACTCCTTTGCAAAAAGTGAATCACCTTTTGTGGGTTTAGTGGAAAAATGCTTGATTCCCCAAAAAGTTAAAGTCTAAAGATCCAACCCAAGAGCAGTCAAGGGAAGGACCCCGTCCTCCTTGCGGCGCAGCTGGAGAAGCTCTGCCTCTCATGAGCCACTGCAGTTTGGGGTGCTGGTGCAGGTGCTATCCATCTCACAGCATTGACATTCGACAGGTGGAATGCAGGCACTGCAGCGTAGGAGAATGAGCCGTGTAATTGCCAACCAGAAGCATCCTGCTTTTGACAGCTACTCCGTCTGAAATTCAGCGCGTCCATTGACAAGAAAGGGAATAAAGCAGTACGCAGCAGTATGCTGCAGCGCACAATGCGCAGCAGATGTGCCATGAAGGCCCACGTCTGACAAGTACGCAACGTTTTCACTGCAGTGAATGGCAACCGGCAGCAATTTTTGATTCCCCAGATAGCTGAAAGCTATGGGGGTTCTAACTTCTAATAAAAAGGGGAAGTGATTTGCGAGATTGACGGCTGGGTGCTAGGGTGCGCGCAGTTGGGGTGCTGGTGCAAATGCTGTAGGGTTTGCTGTTTGGGGAGCTGTTTGAGGTGCAGGTAACGGTGCGGGCGCAGTTTTGCACTAATATGGAGGGGGGAATGATTTACGAATTTTCGTCCGCAAACCGCGTTCCAAAAACTGGAAACCCGAACGGTGGAACCTTTGCTGCACAAAATGACCCATGGGATCCCTTGGGTCTGCCTTTCAGTTGGCATCCAAGCATGGCTACTTTTGCGAGGATGGTAGTCGCTTCACCAAGCCATGGAGGGAGGCATCCCGTTTTGGTTGGATTAGCTCAACCCAAAGGACACCACCTTCGGGGCCCATTTTGAGAGAAACCGAAAAGAGCCGGGGGATGATTGGTAGCTTGCGGAACCCTTCTAACAACATAACGATGGGTTCCTTTCGAATGCTACACACATGCTTCGCAAGCGATCAGAACCCGATCATTCGAACCCCTTAAACGGGTCTGAGCAGGGTGTCCCCAACTGGAAGCTTCTGCTTAAGTTCAGGGTCGAAACGTTGAAACCATCGACATTCGGTTCTAGCAACATAGATATCAGTAAATAAAGTTTATCGGCCTTAATCTAAGCTCACCAAACCAGGCAGCGCCTTCTAAGCATCGCTTCCAGGGTTGACCGTCGCTGCTCGGCTGAACTCAGCTTTCGGTGATCGATGCCCAATCAAGGTCTCCAATTCCCTGTTTGGGCGTGTCTTTTTTTGGAGGCTACCCCTTTGGGGTTGGTTGAAAGGACAATCAGGACCATTTTGGGGGGGGGTCCCAAAAAAGACTGCACCCCATTTCTTGGACGTTGGAAGTGGAGCAACAATTTAACTTCTCGGGGATTTCCCACTCAACCGCAATAAGGAATGTAAATGTTCCCAACAACCATGAATTTCACGGATGCCCCATGTTTCCACACGCCATACGCCGATCGGACCGTTTGCCTGGAGCTTCATCCGCTCACTCTCCTCTTCCGCCTGACGAGAGGCGGAAGCCTTGAGCCCCCCCGGACACACTGTGGATGGTTGCGAAATCCAGAAATCGCACCTGGAAACCATTGTTGAAACCATAACGTTTGTTTATGTATTTACAGGAGAATCATTCCAGAGCTTCATAGGTGGTGCGAAATGGATTTCGTCCATCCAAAGTAGGACCATTGTGCCCAATGTGCGCCTGTTGCGTCTTCGCCGAGTACCCCCCGTGAGATTTGTGACCCCGGGTTTTTGCGGAGGCCATGGCCCTCCCCAAAATCAAGACCAATTGTGCCAGCTTCACCCTTCAGGATGTCTGATGATTCCCCTGTAAATACCAACCAAATAATGGTTTCCCATGGTTTCCAAGTGGTGCGAAATGGATTTCGCAACCATCCACAGTATGGCTCTCAAGGGCCCCCGATCCCCCCATAGCGACTCCGGCCAGGGGCCGAAAGGGTGTTGTGCGCAGAAAAACCATCGCCTTCTTCTGCTGGATGCGTTCAAGCTCTCCTTTCTGCGCCTTGCCAAGGTGAGAAGTGAGGGTTCCACTCAAGAAAAGCAAGCTCTTGGAATCCAATGGGTGTTTCTCAAAATACAGGACCCTTAAAAATGCGATGATTCCTTTTGGCATCCCTTTCAAATTCAAGGGGGGGGCGCCGGGGTACCCTCCAAAGATGCAAATGGGGAAATGCCCCAGAAAATCTGGCTTTAGGCCCCTGGCACTCACCGTCAGGATGTAATGGGCCCTTTTTTGGCTTGGTTTGTTTGATTGATTCGGTTGGTTGGCTGGTTGGTTGGGTTTGGTTTCGTTTTTGGTTGGGTTGGTTTGGCTTGGAATCGTTTGGCGGTTTGGCGGTTTGGCTTGGGTTGGGTTGGTTGGTTGGTTGGTTGGTTGCTGGGTAGCTGGTTGTTGGCTTGCTGGCTGGTTGGCTGGCTGCTTGGCTGAGTTCGTTGGTCGCTCTAAGGGCCGGTCAACGGCACTGATGTATTCCCTGGAATTGCTCCCCCCGAAAAAAAAAGAACAAGAAGAAGAAGAAGGAGAAGAAGAAGAAAAGAAGAAGGAGGAGGAGGAGAAGGAGAAGAAGGAGAAGAAGAAGAAGAAGAAGAAGAAGAAGAAGAAGAAGAAGAAGAAGAAGAAGAAGAAGAAGAAGAAGAAGAAGAAGAAGAAGAAGAAGAAGTGATTGTGCACAAACAACACTGCCAACCCAACAAACAACACATAGGCCTTGAATGCCAACTAAAAGCCACCCCACCACGGCTCTGAACACCAAGCAAAAACAAGAATCGAAAAAGGCTGGCTTTCACCACGTCGTTTGCTCCAAAAGCGCCTCATCCTTGCCCTTCTGATTCTCCTGCTCGTCCCTGGGTTGCCGGGAATGCTTGTCACGGTCAAAAACAGGGACTCAGCATGAGTTTATGAAGCGGGGTCCAGTTTTAACACAGAAACCAGAGTACTGGAGCTAAGTGAGCCCAGCTCTTTCTTGGACGGCATGTTGTTCTCCGGTGTTCGCATGGAGCTTCAGAGACTTTGAAGCCCTTCTTCCCTTTGACGGAACATTCTCGTCCACGTAATTCAGAAAGAAACCAAGACAATGGCTTGCCAGCACCCAATGGCAAAATGCCCCCGGCCCAAAGGAGGGATGGGCCTACAACCCTTGGCAATGAGCTTCTCAGCCTACCCCCGCACCCAGAGAAAAAAACACCGCTGCGGATTTCAGGAAGGCCACTGGTAAGACAATGCCTTCATGGCGCGTGAATCTCTTTTCAGGGTCAAAGGGAGAACAAAACCAGAAATACCAGAATACCAAGAGCATCCTGTTTGACATACCCATTTAGGTGCTTAAAATTTTCAACGCGTCTGTTGACTTCCAACCTCTGCAAAATGTGTCTGGCTTTTTGTGGGTCCAATGCAACATCCCCTGTTTCAACCAAAAAGTTACATTCCAAGGATCCAACCCAATAGCCAGAAGGAAGAAGGGGGGGTCAGAGGATCAACATGTCGAAGCTTTCCGATGCAAGCGACCAAGCTGCTGGGTGCCTTGAAACGCTCGAGACTTTGGGGTTTTGGAGATGCCAGAAAAGTCTCCAAGCCGAGTCCAAGTAGTATGATGCTAAACAAGCACATGATTATCATATGATCATCTTGGTGCTCAAGCACCCAGAAGAACCCCGTTCCATTTATTGAGCGGCCCTTATGTATAACCTGATGCAGGGCCATAGCAGGCGGAGCCATGGCAACCTACTAGTGCCCCCCTTCCCTAGCCCCCCTTGGGGTCCAATGACAATACTACAAGTCCAACACAAAAATCATAGCAAGGGGAGCCCTGGGAAGAGTATGGCTCTCAACGGCCTTTGTTTTGGTCCCAAATGGTCACTAGTAGCCACTCATAGTCATCTTGGCTTATTCTAGGCTTATGCAGGGAAAACGGCCCTCCGCCCTAAAGGTCCATGATATTGGAAAACGGCCCTAGACTTTGCTGACTTATAGTAAGGGAAACCGCCCCCCCCCCCACCCCCAAGTGGCCATTTTTTGTCTATTTATTTTGTAAGGATTTTATTAATACAATCCCCTCCACTTCGCCCAAGTGCCCCGCTGGAGCTTTCGCAGCATTTCTTCGATGCGCTGCTTCTCCTCCTGCACGCTCCGCGCAAATTCCTGAGGCGATGTTGCGGGGCAAGCCTCGAGTCCCACGTGAGTGGATTGGCCGTGTCTTCCCAGAAAGTTTGATGTCCAGGAACTCCGAGAGTGAGGAAATAGACTTGAAACGAACACGGAAGTCAACAAAGAAATCAACAGCACAGACAAGTGAAGTTGCTTTTATGTATATATATATATATTATATATATATATATATTTCTTCTGTGTGATAAATCTTTCATGATCAAAGGTCCGGCCATATGTCACCTGTGCCTGTTTCAAGGGTTTCTGGAAGTCCTTTTGCTCCTTGAAGAAAATGCATCACTGGTCGGAAAAGCCTTTGGACACATTGGAGCAGATGTTTGGAGTCCTCTACCCGAAGCCAGTGACCTGGAAGAAAAAGGAAACCTGTTGGGGACAGCTTGAAGCAACGGAGCGCCATCGAAATGCGCCTCTGCCTCACCGCACATGTCACAAGCCTCACAACCCGCTTTGCGGTTGCATAGCTCTGAACTAAGTTGAGTGGATTGGTCGAACAAGCCCGAACTTGTTGTTTGCCACGAGAACGGTCTTCCCAAAAGTAAAATCCTTACAGTCAGGCCCAGTTATAGAATGTGTATTTTATTGTTTGCTTCACTTTGAGTCACTAAAATGTAAAATGTATCCTAAGTCTTCCCAAAAAGTAGACAGTCCTGGAACTCGGGGAGCGAGCTGTCGCCCACCGCTCTGGAAAACGCCCGTGGAGCATGCTCAACCCAAAGTTTTGAGCATGTTTTCCAGAAACCAGAACATTGCCCGTTCTAAAGGGAAACAACAAGAAGCCGTTTGAAACATCTGAAACAACATACGACCATTTACCAACCTGAAATGGGTATTGGCATGTGTCAAAATAGGGGGGGATCCCCAGACTTCGACTTCTTCTTTTGGCCTCGCTTTCAACTACCCTGAACCGGGTATCTTCAAGCAAAATAAAGAAGACACGCAAACCTGGACACCCAAAGATTGGTCGAGTCGCGATTGCCTGCAACAAGTCAAGAGGCCAGAGAATCGGGGGAAAAAAAAACGGAGCAAACAAAAAAACACACAAAAAACAACCAAGAGTTGAAGAGGTGCGGCTTTGGCCGTTTGGTCCATGGAAACTGCCACATGTTGAAGTCGGCTCAGCTTCCGTTTGAATTGGTGGTTTGGGCGGTTTCCCGCAAGAACTAGAGGTGGAGGTGTCCTGGGGTGGTTTCCCATTTACCCTCCACAAGAATCAGGAATAATTACTCCATCCAATCCAAAGGGCGGTCGAGTCGAAACGGTGGCGTCCTGCTTCTCTCTGACCTCTTCTCTTTCCCTCTCGAGCTCTTGTTGGAGCAGGAGCTTCTGCTGCCTTTCCGCCTGTCGCAAGGAACCCCTTCGGTTTCCCTGAGCCACACCCGCCCCGACCTGGCTGGCATTCGGAACACAAAGACCTGGAACCTCCATGTGCGGAAAGAATCTTGGGACCAAAGGGCCTTTTCGAGGTCAGGGCCCTTCCAGAGATCCAGACCCAACGGAGGGTCTTTTCAGATGCTTGTTACTCCTCAAGGGCTGGCCCATAAGGCGTGCATCGCCTGGGAGATCTTAGCTAGGTGCTTCCCACCTCCTCGGTAAAGAACACAAAGATCCCAAACTCGTCGGAAGGGTGGGATTCCTCTACAACTCAAAGGGCACCAGCTTGCTTGTGCGATAGGTAGGGATTCCCTTAATGGAAACGACAAGGGATGGTTTATCGGGTTCATTCCCTCATGCACCAGCGAGCCAGGCAAGTGCAATCAAACAGCCGACCAGAGAGGCCTCCAGGCGACCCTCAACATCCTCCTTCTCCTTGGCCAGTGTCTCGATCAGAACCTTCTTGTCCTCTTCGGTTCGTGACTGACCGCCACAAACACCAAAGCGAAACATCGGTCGGGAAAGTAACAAACATGAACAGTGGTTGGACCAACCAGTTTTCCGACTTTCTTTCTAAAAGGGGACCCGCACAATGGTGGGTATTCTTCTCGGTTTTCCTTTGAACACCAGCAAAAGGGGACCTCCATCTAGAAACGCAGCACACATAACCCAGCTCAAGAAGTATCCCCAGCCCCATCTGGAACTTCCCAACGGCCAGACTGCCCCGGTCTGATGTTCAATTCCTTGCCAAGGCATCCTTTTTCGGTTGGCTGAGTGGTTTTACGAACTGAAGCGAGATTGGGGCCAGGGCTCGGGACACAAAGAAACACCTGCGCCATCTTCCGGGTTCCGAGAGAAACCGTGGCCTAGAAGAAAATACCTGGTGATTTTGCCCGGGATAGATGCCCTCAGTCACGAATCCAGCTCAGGACTCACAACTCCTGCTCGTTCTTCTTCGCATGGGTCTTGATCAGCTTGCACCGGGCCTGGTGACTGTGCGACAAGAAACACCGGGCCAAATCATCCTGCCGTTTGAGCATGGCAACGACCAAGAAATTCTGTAAGAAATTCTGTGGGATATAACCCTCCCCCCCAAAAAACCTAATAAGTAGGGAACGGCTCACAGAACACCAGGCAGTCCTTGCTGAGTGTAGCCTTCCTCTCGACGGCCCTCACGCATCGCCCAGCTTCAAGTTGAAAGCTTGGGCCACTTGGACTCCAGTCACTGGGCCTTCGTCCTTTCGGGTCTCAAGCAACTGCAGAGAGGGCGCCGTTGCCAGTCCGCCGCAGCCGAAGTTTTGGCTGGATTTCGTGTCACGCTTTCTTGGGAGGAAACACATATGCCATGGTCAAAGGCTTTTTGTCTGGGTCAGGGTCATAGTTTCCTTACTAGGATCGTTGTCTCGAGTCCACCAAAAACCAAGGGAATCGGTGAAAAGAGGGGTGCTTGAACAAGGAAGATGACTCAATCTCATAGACGTGCTTTCATCCTCGTGAAACAGGGTTCACCAAACAAGTCCAAAGTTGCCAAGTGCGTGTCCGGTTTGCCTTGAACAATTGAGGGCCCTGGATTTTTGCGGTGGTTGAATCATCTACCACTCAAATGCCCAGTGGCCATGGGGTAAAAAAAACGGGGCATCCTTTTGGAGTTGGTTGAGTTTTTATTTGGGGAACCCTCTCCCTTGCTCCAGAGAAAAAAAAAAAAAAAAACGAACATGAACAAAGGGTCCCTGCGGGTGCGCGACACCGGGGCCCCGGGCGGCGAACTCCAAGGTGCTGACGGACTCGTCGTGGTTGGACCGCGCTGGGCTGATGCAGGCCAGCAAGACCTACACTCAGGGCGTTTGGATGGGACTGAGGGATGCGGGAAAGCGAATTTGAACACTTCCCCAAGGAAAGCAACAGTTGGTGAAGAAGAGTTGGGCCCCTGGAAAAGGACAAAAACGCCAAAGGAAGCCGAGGGACACTTAACTTAGAGGAACGGAACACACACACACACACAGATTTCGAAGGTTTGCTTGCTCCAAAGAGCCTAGCACAAGGGCTTTGGGGAACACAAGCCACAAGCCACCTTCCGAGTGCGGTTTGAGGTCACGGGAGTCACGGTCCGGGTCCCCCAGGTGGAATTTTCGTCGGAAGAGAGTAACTTCACCACGTGTTGTGGAATCCCTGAGGGGGGTAGGAACACGGGGGGTTGGGTGTTTAGGGTTTCCCCCCCATCCTTTCGTAGGACCTCCATAAACATGGAACTGGCAAACTCTTGTCAAGAGCCAGACTTGAACACCAACAGTCGGAATGGAGTTTCGGAGACCTGGCCCTTGGCATCCGGAGCGTCCGGTCTTGAAACAGACCAACGAGGAGAACGAAAAGGTGAAGCAGTCGATTTGGAAGACTTGCCATCGTCGATGTCCCGAAACAGCTACTTACATTATACAACACAAACAACCACTGTTTGAATAGACACCCATGGAAATGAGTGCTCAAACATGCAACTATGACTTTTTACCAGTTTCGTCGCTCTCGCACACAACTCCCGGCACTTGGCGGAATCCCCCCCCCCATTTTTCCGGGAATATGCGAACCATTGCTAACCAATGTGGCTATATGGGAATGCAAATCATAGGTAACCAATTGAGCGAGCCTTTCAAGCCAAAAGGACCATGACTGGATCCCTTTCTTTTCATGGTGATTGGGATCCACTGATGGGTGACCATCTCAACACAAACCTCAAGGTGTACCAACTCAACTAGCGAGCCAAAGACAAAGGTCCGTCCTTGGAGCAATTCGAAGAAATTCCGAGTCGGGGCTTGTCTGGTATCGCGTGGGAAAATCTGCAATTTGCACCTTTTCTTGGGTTGCGTGTTCTCCCTGTTGGCTTGAAGCAGTGAACAGGATTCTAACGCTTGCGCTTTTTTGGTTCCCTCGTGTTTTAATCCTGTTGAATCTCGGCGCGTTGCCGTTTATGCTTCAAGCCTTCAGGGGACATGTATTTGACTTCTGATTTTTGTGAAAGCTCCCCGCCCACCCTCACCCTGTCGCTCACTTAGGTCCATCCTCCGTGATCGGCACTCAGGCATGCGGTGAGTGCCCCCCAAAACGAAAACCGACGTAAGAATTCATTGGTCAAGTGAAGGATCCGCATCATGTTCAACCTGGTTTGTGCCTAGGGCCCCGGATCGGGGAATTGCGGGACACCCATAATCATCTACCCAGAGGTTGCGGCAGCTGAGTTGGTGCCAGGTCATCCTCCCCCTTTTCTGGTCATTGTCAGCAAATCATGCACAAATGTGCGGATACCATCCAAAAAGTATGGGGTGTGATTTGCTTTTTTAAGCTGGCCCCATTTTTTGTTGCGTTTTTGAGGAAGCCAAAAGGACAACTGAAAAAGCCAACAAGAAAGACACAGCCGTATCCCCAAAGAGACCTTGAGGCTTGCAACTCCCGCCGAAAAAGCCAGATACAAATAACACTTGGCCCACTGTACACAGAGCAAACACACACACACACAGCACACACACACATATTTTCAGACAAATACTTTTTGCACATTTGGTCTACTCAGTGAATATAAATAAATAAATAAATAAATAAATAAATAAATAAATAAATAAATAAAACACATAAATAAACAAATATATATATATATATATATATATATATGTATATACACATGTATATATATATATATGGCTATGTTTCAAAACCCTGTACTTCCAGTGAAAATCCCAATCCCCACTAACATAGGTTCTAAAATGGGTGGTGCACCGAAAACCCCCAAAATGGGATCCCATTGGTGTTGACCCAGGCCCCCCCTCCCCTGACCGCCCCGCCGTGCGGCTGTTGCCACTCAGCGCCTCCTGAACATGGGAGCGGGACTGCTGAAGTCTCAGCGCGAAGGCGCTGACTTGTTTTCGAGGTTTTCGCCTTTGCGGGATACGTTTCAGGGGAAACCAAAAGAAAACCAAAAAGGAAACCAAAACAAAACCAAAAGGAAACCAAAAGGAAAACCACAAAGGACACTTTTTGGGGAAATTTGTTTTTTGAGGTTTCAAGGGGAAACTGAAGGAAAAAGAGGTAGCCGCAAACCATTTTGGAAGTTAGGGTCTTCCTTAAAAAACAAAACACTGCCACATGCAGTACCCACTGCTTTTGATGGCCAAAACCCCAAGTGTCCGAGACTTGCCCGTGCGGAGGACATGCGACAACATCCGAGGGTCCCATGTCCTCCCCAAACCCACCGCAGACTACCCAAAACTTTGTGACCATTCTCGCTGATGCCAAGTGCGCATCCACATGTTGCTGACATGCAGGAAGAAACACCAAAACTCGCCTGAAATCCAAAGTTGTCCCACCCTTTCCATGTAACCTTTGAATATTGGCCACCTTTTTGAGGGGTCCCTACTCTTCCAGGCAAAGGTCCCTTTACTTCTCATTTCCCACAATCACATTGCCTCCAACCTGTAGTTTGGCTTGGGGAAGAGCTTGTCTATGTCAAAAGGCACGGGTCCTTTTCCACAATAATCTAACCAGGTCATGTTGATCTGTGTTTTTTTCCATTCTTTCTTTTTTCAAAAGAGAATTCATGCGCTTTTTGCAACTCCAAACCGCCTTAAACAAAACGGCAGTGGGAACCCAGGATTGATCAGCCCTATGTGATTTCCAGGTGGTGTCCCATGAAACGCAGGATCCGCAAGGATGGGAAACACGTCTCCTGAAGCTGAGGAGGACCCTCCCAATGCAGTTTAACTCAGATTCCATGTTTCATAGAAACCAGCTCCAGGAAATTCTGCAGGAACTAGCCAAATTCCCGCCAAAATCAGGGGTTTCCTGTAGAACTTCCTGTAGTTGGTTTTCTTAGAATATTGCAACTCCCAAGCCTGTTCGGTGAATTCCAAACAGAACCTTGGCTGTTTCCCTTCAACCAGGCCACTTGCCGCTTGAAGTGACCATAGAAGTCGAAGGAGGCCAACCTTGAGGGGGACGACGCCTCCATCCAACACCCCGGCAAGGTGGTTCTTTTTGAGGCCCATCCTTTCGGGAAACCCAAGGACTCTTGGGGCTGTCGGCCCTCTGATCCAGTTCAAAGGCCTTCTGCTGGCAGCTGGGAGCTTGGTGCGCGTGGGTTTTTTTTCATTTCCCCCCGGTTGGTCTCCCTGTTTGGGTTTCCCCCATTGGTCTCCCCCAGGGGAAAGGGCGCAAAAAAGGCCAAGAATCCCGGCCAAACCTTGTGGATGATGTTCCCCTCAAAACTTCTAGGACTGTTGGGAGACTTCAAGCCAACCATTTGCTTCTTGGGGTGGCCCGTTTTCGCATGAAGCCAACAGGCAGCCCATGTTGGGCAACGGCTCCTTTCATTTGCTTAAGCCCCCTAAAAAATAAAAAAAAATAACATGTTTTCAGTAGTGATCAACAACATCCCTCTAAAAACCCGACGAGGGACAATAAACAAAAAACAACAATACCTTACGCAAAATGGAAGCACTTCTTCGAGACAAACCCCATCCGAGTCGACATTTGGCAGTGGCTCAAAATTAAGCAGGAGGGGCAAACCGCAGGTTGTCCATGTTTCCAGTTTCCAGGGCAACCCGTTTTGGAAAATTCCGGTTTTGGGAGCCATTTGTGGCTCCTTCAGCAGCAGCGTCAACTTGGACTCCCGGAAGACCGGCTGGATGCCGCTGGTCCCGGCCAGCGCCTCAACCCCGAGGAGCTCGGCGGCGAAAAACCCGACTCCGCGCGCGGAGACTTTTGGCCGTGGCTCAAAAAAGCGGTGGGTCCTCCAGTAGTCTATTTTACTTGGGGAACCCTTCCCCAAAAAAGGGGGAAAGAGAAGGGCACTACTGGGGGACCTAGGTACCTATGTTTTGCGGCCGCTTGGATGGAACAAAGACCGAAACCTGCGTAGCCCCAGCTCTGTATTTTCTGGAGCCATACCCATTTCCTGCCACTCACGTGGCACCTGTGGGGTACCTGGAAGATGAGTTTCCTCTCAAAAGGAGCCTCTGTCAGGTGCCACGTTAATGGCGGGAGGTGGGGTGGGGGTATGACAATTGAAAAACACTCACCTCTGACCGCAAGAGACGATAAAGTGGCATATGGAATTCTTGCTGGACCGTCGGATCGGTCGAAACGATGGATCGGTCGAGTTGCGAGGACCCTTTCCCCCTCTGGCCTAACAAAAACATGCTTCCGGTCGAAGGTCCAGACGTTGAGTTTTGGAGAGGGGCTTTGGCAAAACTTGGAACTGCATTTTTGTTGCTCCTTGGCGAACTTCAAAGACTTCATCTTACTTTCCCTGCGGCGAACAGGACGTCCCATTTTTTTGTTCAAGTGAATTGGGTGTGATTCAGCGGTCTGTCCAAACTCGCCATCTACCATTTTATTGCGAGCTCCGTGTGGGGGGGAAAACGAGCAAGAAGAAGCGCAGAAGAACGCCATGATCAAAGTTCTGTACTTGGGGATCCAATTCTGCCGAAGACTCCTGTGTACGGAAGGAAGCTTCGCCAAACTTTTGTGATGCTTTTATAAAATCCGCAAGGGTAGGTACAAGTTGAAAAGGGTAGTGGAGAGCTGCAGGGTTCCTTGGGGTTCCCTAATTTGCGATAAAGAGCCTTAGGGAACCCCACCTCCTTTGAACCACCTTTGCTTGGGGATTCCCCTGATTTGAACGCCTGATTCGGCATAGAATCCCCTCTCCAGAATTGCTCCCATTCCAGCCAATGAGCAACCCCCTGGCAAAGGGACGCGAACCCCAGCCAATAGGTAGCCAAGGGATACCAATCCAATGTCCTACTCGTTTTTGGAGCGGAGCACCTGGCGAAAAACTTCGGGGTGGGTCTGTGCCACTAGCTTCCGTGGTTCCGGAGAGGCTGATCCATGGAAAGTCGCAGCATGGCCCTTCGAAACCCATGCTCCTAAAATTTTGGTGCCTGAACCACTGATTCTGGCGCATGATAACTGATCAAACAACAGTTACGATTTCTGAAAAGGAGGCAACCAACAACAAACAGCCCTTCCAACAAAGCGAAAGGAACATGGCTGCTTCTGGTGCGGCCTTTGGGACACACCTGTTTTGGACAGAGATTGTGTGCACTTCAACGGAAAAAAAACGCCAAGCTCGTGGATCTTTGGCAGCGCGAGCCCTTTCAAAGAGAAGCAAAGGTCAAGAGAGAACGGTGTTCGTCGTCTTCCCGGGGGCGCAATCTCACTTTCTTTGGGTGAATTGAGCAACAAGTGAGCAAGCATTGCACTTGGCCCTAGACTCATCTTCCCGCAAAGTTTCAGGTCCTCAGAAAGTTAGGTTTTTTTCTGGATTTCGGAGCGCTGAAATCCCTCCGTTGAAATCTCCGGACTTCAAGCGGCCTGAATGACGCGGCTCAGTGACGACAGCGACTGGTTGATGGCAATGCCTTCCTGCGAGCACCAAATCCCCGACCTCGAAACAGGGCCCCATTCAAAAGGAGATCCCTCTAACGAGTGGTATTGGGGGTGCATGTTGATTTTCGGGAGAAGAACCTCCAGCAATGTCAGAACCACGAAAGGATATCATAATTCAACCGGGAACCTCTTTGGTGGACATGATTTACATGGAGAACTGTCCTCTTCCAACAATCACAGAAGTTGACTCATTGAGGCTTTCCAGAAAGTAGTCTTCCAAAACCTTGCGATGTGAGCGTCCGGTACATCATGTCCACCAACCACTTGTGAGAGTGTTTCTGATTGAAATGGTTCAAAGCAGACCTACTGATTGAAACAAGCAACAATATGGACACAACGCACAATAACATTTCAAAACTCCTTACAGCCGGAAGTCCATGTCAGCTAACCGCAACCCTTGCAAACAACACAATTATGATGGATGTGGCGTCCGAAAGAACGCAGGCAGCGTATTGGCGCAAAGAGCAGCACGACAGTGTAGGCAACTTCCTAAAAATAAATCAGCGTGATGCCAGTTAAGTCCGGCCACACCGGGGGGTTGTGAAGCTTAAACATGTAAGATCAAGTGGTCAGCGTACCCGCTGAAATGGCCAAAGGCCAGAACAAACAAGACACACAAACGCCGGTCGAAAAATGTAAGCAAACAAAGCATCCTAATCTCGTCCGTCTGCTATATCGACATGGAACGCGAGAAAGGCTTCCATAGGAAAGCAACCCCGCTTAACAAAACACATACACAGCTGGCAGGTTCCATGGTGGGAAAGTGTGGTGTGCTTGAGGTATCAGGATTGGAAACCAACTCTGGCTGAGCTTTCAAGCAATAGGGGCTGGTGAAAACCATACTGTTCTAAGCTACACAGGACTTTCTCATCCAGTGTTCATGTTTCTGGGATGATACCGAGCCTCAAAAACACACGCCTGGGCAGAAAGGCTCAACTTCTTGCTGAGTGGTGAGGAAGGTGAAAGATCAGCAAACATGGGGGGTTGATCAATACTCCCAGATCACTTTTCCCCTTCAATGGGACACATCATCTTTTTAGTGGGCTTCTTCCCATGGTCATCCCATGTAGTTCGGACGTTTTGATCACCCAAACAACTGTCAAGACGGTTGCGCCTGCAGCCGCTCGCCGGAGGCATGGGTCTTCTTCTGCTTCTCGCTGCCTGCTAGGTCCTCCGATGCTTCCGAGCGGATGGCTGACGCCCCGAGTTTGGATTCGTCATCACTTTTACCTTCCCACCAACTAACATGGAAGTGCAAAAAAAAACCATTCCAAGAGGAAAGTAGTGTTTCTACAGGGGTCTGCGCACTTCCATGTTAGCTGGTGGGAGGGTACTTGTTCACGCAAAAAGGGATTTGTACCAGCCTGGCCTATCAGGAAGGTGGGTGGCCCCTCCCCACTCCATGCAGAACCTGACAGTTAGGCTAGACTGATGACTCCCCGCATTGGTTCCCTTGTACCCGCATTCTGGGAACATGCGCTGGGAAAGGTTGTTGGCGTGGTTGTGTGGTTCACGGGCAGACATTTGGGGCATCGACTGGAGCGCCTTCACAGATCCTTCACGCAACAAAAAAACCCTTTGATGGTGCGACGGACATTACAAAGGGTGTATCAGCACAATTGACTGGTTGAGTTGACAAGAACCTCATCTTTGAGGGTGTTGCGACAGCTGCCACACCCCTGACATCCTAATGGAACCATGGTAATGGCTTGATGTCGGTTGACTGAGCCCAAAGGGGCGGCCTCAACCCCGTGTTGTGAAACACGCATATGTATTGAATGTATGTGTATATATATACATATGTATACAGTATATATATATATATATGTATGTATGTTCCGCCCCCCATGATCTGCCTTTTGTTCTTGAATCCTTTGCCTAGTTGTTGTATATTGACAGTACACATTTGACTGCCAGACTGCTTGGTATCGTGGTTCTGTTCTCTGGGGGCATTCCACGTTAAGCTGGGCATGGAAAAAAACACGCATGCATTTGTTTGCAGTGTTTTCTTGTGTTCACGCTTGCAAAGTGTAACACAAACGCCGATTCTGTTGGACATGTGCAATGACTAAACCATATGTAAGTTTGAGTTGACTCTTCCTAATGCATGCACGTGCATTTCAAAAAGAAAGTGCTCATTTCACAGTAGTAACACATGGAACACCAAAACACTTGAGAACCCCTCCCAAAACAACACAAGGCACAATCTCTGGGGGAGCATCTTTGGTTTTATCCCCAAACTTTGCATTGCTTTGCTTGCTCGAGGTTTGTTTTTTTGCTTTTCCCTGTTCTTTTTGCTTTTGTTGAACCTATCCAAAACAACTCGAAATTTTGTATTTCAGAAGGCCACGACAGGCCACGTGTCCACAAACGAACAAACACCTTGAGTTTTGGCTTTTGTGAGGGATAACACAAACCGAGGAACACCAAACAACAAAACGCATTCTGACACATACAGAAAACTATCAACACATTGAGCTGCTTTGGCTTGAGGACAGCTTGAATTAGAATTCCAATTGTAAAGCAGAGTTTCACAGCTGGCTTTAAATTCTTGACGCCAGCCTGATAAGGCTCCAAATAAGGTTTCTTATTCAGATCCTTACAAGGCTCCGGCGCCTGAACAAGCTCCTTACAAGGCTCATTGTAAAGCTCCTTATACGGCTCTGTACCAGGGCTCCTTTTGAAGGCTTCTCGCCCTTGCGCAAATCCTGCTAAAAGCTGAGGCTCCGAATAAAGCTCTCCTACCAAGGCTGCGTATACCAAATCGGGTGTTGACAACCAAAATATGTTGCACAAGTATTAACGAAACAACCAGCCAAGTTTTTTTTTTTTTTTTTTTTGACATCCTTTCCAACCTTTATTTTCATGCTAATGTTTCGCTTCAGTAGATTTTAATAGACTTTAATAGACTTGACAAGCACATCAGAACTAATTTTGAAGTGAACTTTTAGTTCCTTTTCCAAACATATTTCGATTGCATTTGATTATAATTTGCATTCTAAAACAACATGGGGCTGATTTAAATCAGCAAATGGAACAGGAGTTATATGCAAGGACCTGCAGGTGAATAAAGCTCCTGCTAAAGCTCCTCTCAAGGCTATAAGCCTTAAGGCTCCTTATGCCAACTAGGACTTTGATTGAGATTTAACTAGAATTTGAACAGACTATCAGAAGAACTAAGGAGAAGGAGGTAACTGTTTCGTTTTGAATGCGGGGTGAAAAAGGTATTCCTTTTCAAACATGAAGTTAATTATAATAATTCAAGCAGCATTTAGCGGGGAAGGAGGCCAATTTGAATGCCTATTTGCAAAATTGAATTCGAATATGAATTCCTTTTCAAATTGGTTCAAACAAACTTCAAATGTACATAGAGTAGACAATCATAAACAGGAGACATTTGTTTTGGACTTGTAGATGTGACACAACACAGGCAGAGGAGACATTGACTTGTTTGGTGCCCTCAGATGGTACACATGACACAAAAAGGTAGATGATGGGGGGGCTCAGCATATCCATATATTATGTGTATATATATATATATTAATATATCTATATATATATATATGTATATATATATATATATATGTGACATAGTCTACAATAGTACCGCCCTTCTAAATCAAGGCTAAATACCAAAAGTCGAGCAACTGGTGAGTACTCCAAGAGCGGAGTACTAATATATGTAGAAATATACTGAACCGTGGCCAATGAATCTAACACACACACACACATTTTGTTGTAGGTGTCGGCCCCTCTTGAGACTATTGTAGGAAATGTAGAGATCTCCTCTTTCTCATACAGAAACATTGTCGTCGAATCGCCCGAGCTCACCTGGATTCTTTAGGACCGCATGTTGGATGGTGATTTTCTTGGGCAGACAAACAAGGTTCCTGCAGACGGTTCCCAAGCAGGGCTTGAGGGTTGAAACAAAAGGAAGGGTTAAATAAACAAGCTTGGAGGGTGAAACAATCGGGAGCCCGTCTGTTTTTAGGGGACCCCCCAAAATGGAAACTACCCATCCTGAAGAGAACGGGAGCCTTCGGCCGAAAACCCCAGAACACTTCGGGCTGGACCATTTTCAGAAACAAATCTTGGAAAACACATTTTCAGAGGACCACCCACCCCAGAAACAAAACTGGGCTGTCCTCAGATCCCCCAAGCACTAAAAGCCTAAGAAGCCTCAGCAGCCGGATGGCTGGCTTCGCCGCCAGAGAAGCCGCGCGGAGACGACTCCGGATCTGAGCGCCCGGGCCACGAAGTGAATCCTCGACTGCAGATCCTTCCCCTTGGACCTTCGAGCGAAGGGATCGAGCGAAGCGGCTTCCAGCTGGGGATGTGGCGCAAAGATTCCGAGGGTCTGCTAGTTTTTCCCCTTTAAAAAACCACACCCCAAAAAAGGGCGCCCTCAAAAAAAAACAACAACAACAAAACCCTGTGATGTCAGGGTTTGTCAGTTTGTCTTGGAAGTGCAAAAAGAAGAGTTTGCGGCCAGGCTTCAATGCTTGACTCCTGAAATCCTCTGCTTCCCCGGCTTGGTCTGAAGACGTTTTTGACCCTGCCGATGAATTGCAGACTCAGTTTTGAAGCACGCGACGCACGTCTAATCCTTGTTTCTCAGTTCTGAAAAGGATTCCTGGATGAACCCTTACCCCAAGCTACAAATTGGCCTGGTGAATGAGCAGCCAATAAATGACTAGAAGCTTACCCACGGCCCCCATGGGTTGCCGCCCTCCATGCTGCCCGGAGGTCATACGACTAGCAGCAAAGGTTTGGGTTCAGCTTTGGGGCTGAGGTTTCCGCTTGAGGCGTCGGTAGAGCGCTTTGGTTTTGGCTTAGGGTTTAGGTTCATGGTTTAGGGATTCGGTTTCGTTTTAGGGTGGTCTCGGTTTAGGGTTCGGTTTTAGGTCTAGGCTTTGGTCTAGGACTGGGTTTAGGTGTAGGTTTGGAGTGCTAAATTTCGTTGGGTTCAGGTTTAGGGTTTAGGTTTTGGCGGCGGGTTCGGGGCGCAGGCAAGCCACGCGGGGCCAGCAAGTTTCGCATGGGGATGGACGCAAGTGGAGTTGGCATGCTAGCAAAACGAATAAACATCTTTAAACTGCCCCGTTTTCTGATCCGCTAAAAGCGAGTGGCTAACTTTTAGTGGGTTAAATTCGGAAACGACCACTAAACGCCTAAAAGCCCGTTTGGATTCTTTTTGGAAACAGGACTCTCAAAATACATCTGTTTCTGGGCTGTCCTCAGATCCCCCGCTAAAAGTAAATAACTTGTAGTGGGTTAAATAGAAAAACCCTAAACACTAAAAGCCTAAAAGCCTCAGCAACCGGATGGCTGGCTTCGCCACCAAGTTTTACCTACGAGGTCTGGACGTCTCAGCGAACGACTCCCTTGAGGCAAAGGCCCCGAGTAGCTCAGCCGGATGTCCAAGGTGAAAATGGCGTGGGACCGCGAGGAGTTGGCGTTCATGCTGGTGGCACCTCCGAAAAGCCAAGCCCAAAAGGCGTAAGCTCCAAAAAAAAGCTCCAAAAATCATGTCTGACCCTGTTCCATACTTTGGGCCCTGACATATAAACTCGTTTGGAGGAGACCTGCTGGGAGTTTCTCCAAACGGTGGAGAAGCCTCTTTTGGTTGGCATGTGTCGAGGGAAGAAGGCAACAGCAAATCCTGTCCATTTTAGGAACTGGATCTGTTTTCTGAAAAGCGTCCTACAGCTCTAGGGGTACCAACCATACTGAAATCGCTAGGCGTCCTTTTGTCATTCGTCAAACTACCATGGTTGGAATGTTTAAACCGGTTGGCACAACCTCTTGGTTATTAGCCTTTGCGGTGGTTGGTCTTGAAACACATTTGGCCACGCTTCCACTTTTGACTACCCTGCTAGACTTAAACCCATGGTTGGAATTTGTTTAAACCATCCTTGCCATTGGTTTCCCTAGGGTGGGGTCTGTTTGAGTTCCGAATGCTCCCCTTTGGTTCCCCTTCAGCAAAAAGACGGGTACTCTCAAACACACACACACACAAATGGTTGAAGACACAGGTTGGCCTGCAAATACTCGATGCGAACAACTAAGGTAGATGAGGAGCTGCACAGGGAAGCGACAGCCTTCTGCAGTTTGTTGTTTCGCCGACTTGCCAGCTTACTTGTGAGAGACTGCATCCAAGCTGTAGGCCCACGCTTCCCGGAAAGCTAGTGTCTAAGAGGCTTTGCGGCTTGTACCATCTATACCTGAGCTTCCGGCTTCCACTTCTCCTTGCCTCTTTACCGGCATGGCTTGTGGATATGCGCGAGCCATGAGTTGGCCTATCTCGAGGCACTGACGCCTGTTGCAACTCGAACCTTTAATTGCGGCACACATCATTTGCCTATCCCAAACGGATTGAGGTCCACGAACTGGGGAAGTGAGTTTTTTTTAAGGAAATGTTGCCCCCCACCCCCCCCACCCCCCCCCACCCACTTCACTTCGCCTACCGCACGGTTCTTGGCGCCAAAGTCCAGTAGCTCGTTCACCTCCGGCTCGCGGGCTGCGGTTCGGGCCGTTGGGTGCTGCTACCGGCGCTTAGCTTCAAGAGGCTCAACTGGGTTCAATCGCACGGGAAAACAAGAAACATGGACCACTAGTTGGACCAACCAGTTTTCCGGGTCGAATATTCTAGTAAAAGGGGGGGATAGTTGGACCATTTTTTTCCGGGTCGACTATTTTTATGGAGAAGGGGGACACGCAACATGGTGGGTTTTCTCCAGTTGATTTCTTGGAAACCAGCAAAAAAATGGACACCCATTTAGACACGCCGGAAACATACGGAACTAAGCCATCCCCAAAACCAAAGAGCCTTGGACTCTGGATGCCGAGGCTAAAGGAACCACTGGTTTCTCCTCGCATCGGATTGGGGTCTGGGCCAAAGGCCAGTCCCAGTTTCTGCACGGTCCGACGCGTCCGCGTCCGCTCCGACGGCGAAAGGCACAAAGCTGGCCCCAAAAGGACCTCCAGAAATGGGGGCTTGATCCAAAGGTTGGCTTACCTGAGGATCTTTCCCAATATTGGAAGTCGCCTATGGTCATTTGAGGGCCGAACAGAAGATTGAAGCCCAATATGTTTCTGCGCTGGTGTCACTTTTGTCACGGTTTCCTCAGGTTCAGAGCAGATTATCCGGACAAAGCTTCATGAGAGGCAAGGCTCAATCGAAAGCGAAGGTCTTTCATCTCTGACATATGCTCAATACACACACACACACACACAGACCGACACACCGATACCAGGCTGTTGGCACCATTCATTGATTCCTTCCTTGAGGGTTGTGCTTGCAAGACTGGTGAACATGTCCTGGTCGCCGGTCGCCCAGCCCAGAGCAGGATCAGAGAACCGAATCACACTGAAGCTTTAACCTTTCACGAACTTGCAAACTAGGCAAAAGCTGGCAATGAACATAAAGCTCCAAGAATGCTGCTTTCAGCAGGGTTGGGGCAACCCCCCTGCTATTGCTTGAACCTCCTTTTTTCACCTTCAAAGGGTCCAGGGTGGTTGTGTAAGCACAAATTGTCCACTCTGGTCGAAACTGCCCCACGCTGGCCATCAGACCTCTCGATGACATGGCTGCATGCTTCACCTTTCAGCAAAACCAGATTGCAAATTGGGCCCCATTTGGCGACGTGGCGAAGGATGAATGGGTTGCACCCTGATCCAGTCGATTTGACGGGCGATACCATTTACCCCATTGCCTTAAAAATAAAACCCTCCACTACTCACACTCTGCGCGAACAAGCGGTTCGTGTTCCGGTCTTTATCAAAACCCGTCTTGCTACATAGGGAATTCCAATAAATCATTCAAGGCTTCTGCTTGGTCCAATCTAGTTGCAAAGGTGCAATTTTAAAAATGAAACGAGATACATCCCAGGCGAAATTAAAATGGGACTTTCTACCTTCACCCGGGTGCATTGATAGCAAGCTCTCAATGCACTCAGAGTCCGAGAAGCCCAATTTTGCTTCAGGCTTCCCCACTTCCCAAAGTTTTTTGCGAAGCCCTTGAACCCACCGCCTGAATTTTGTACTTCCCTTTGACACCCTACAAAAAAAGAGGGTTTGGGATGGTTTGGTTTGGATGGACGCAGCTTCCCAGCATGTTATTCTTTCCATCGCGACCGATGCCTCCTTGCTGTTGGTCACGGGGCTCTGGATGAGGCCAGGGACATGCGGTCCCAGGGTCGGATGCAGCCTGCAGAAAAATCTCGTCTCCTCGTGGAAACCCAACGAAACCAATCGCCAGGGACACGGATGGGTAACAGAGCCGAGGGTGTAAAGAACCCAAGCGGACATATGGATATGGGTCAAAATGCAGCACCAGCCTCTGGACCGCAGGTTTTAGTCCTTTCCATTTAGCAGGGCTTGTTCCATTTTGGGGTTACCCTATTTCTGCCCCACAGCCGTATGCGACACCTAACGAAACCAATCACCAGAGTTCTTTTGACATCAAAAGGAACATGCCCGGGTTATTGCGGCGAAACAGGGGGATTTTTGGTCGGATGCAAAGCCCTTGACTTTGATAAAATAGCGCCAGCTCCGAACCGCCCCGAACCGCCAGCTCCACTCCCTTTGAGGGATGGCCCAACCACTGGCCTCTTCCGGGATGTTGCCGCAAGCGACTCGTAGGGTCCGGTTCAGGGACAGGGACCCTGGAACAAAAATCTGAGTTGCATTTGGAAGAAGCGCAATGAACAAGTTCGGGCAAGAGTCGCTCCATGGACTCAAGGAATCTGCACGGGGACATTGGGAAGTTTGCTGAATGAGCAACGGATTGCTCACCAAACGGTTTAATCGTCAGGTGGTCAAAACTCTGAGCTTCGCTTTGGGACCAAGGGTGTGCATGGTGCCCTGGGACAATCTGGTGCCATGGACATTTGCAGTCCTTGCCCTTAAAGACGAGGGCAGATTACACTGGGATCGACTTTTTGACTCCCAAGAGAAGTATTTTTTGACAAAGGATTTCTGCATGTCTTCCAAGTTTCAAAATAGATTATGTCTCAAGTACATTGCGCCAGTCACTTTTATCTCACTGAGTGTGGTCAGAACCCGTAGCCAGACCTTTTGCCAATTCAGTGCCTCCAACTACCAGAGGGGGAACCATCATGTAGAGCTACATGTCGTGATAACTGGAAGCGCTGGGACGCGGATCTTCCCTTGCCAGCCACATTGGCAAAAGACGCGCACAACCCGCCTGACTTGCAGGTCAGTTCGGGTGCTGACCAACAAGTCGAACATCTTCTCCTGCGAAAGCGCAGGCGCTTTGCCGAGCAAACGCCTCAAAAAGAATCACCCCTGTGATACGTCTTACCATATGGAAGTGGACAGCTTCCCTTTGAGATGATGGCAAACCCTTGTGCCCACTCCCACCATGCTTTGAAAAAAGGGTACCAAAGTGCTTGATTTCCATCCCCATGCTGTGATCACTTAGCAAATGGATTCCCTTGGCACGACGTGTGTCAACCACCACCTAGCCCATAACCAGTGACAATTGCTCTTGCTCTTGAAACATGGACCCATGTGCCCATGGTCAACCATTTGGGGGGCCCCCACATGGCTCGATGTCTTCGTTGGAGCATAGCAACCCAAGCAATCAGAGACACACTTTTTCACATCTGCTCACGAATTCCTACGCCTCATCAGCCAAAAGTAAAGGATCCCTTAATGGACCTTTGGTGATTACCCGATCGGATTCCCTAAATGCTGCAAGTGAAGCCGCATTTCACGTTGCGCCAACTCCCCACGGACAATCCCGAGGCTTCCCTGTGCGCAATATTTCTGCAACGCTTCCCATTCCAAAGCCGCAAAAAAGGGATCCCCCAGCAAAGAATCTTCATAGGTCGCTTGTGTTACCCCCGTAAAAAGAGGAGAGCTCGACCATAGGTAGACCATTGAGTGCTGCGAGCAAACTTCAATTCCGTCCTGGTAGATCTCAAGGTAGCTGGCCAGAACCTGCAGCTATCGCAACCTTTTTGGGGGGTGGCCCGAGACCTTTAACCCGAGACCTTGGATTCGTTCATGTTTTGTGGTAAGTCTCCCACAGGAAAACACTTGGGGCTCGACAAGGCCCTTTTCAGCCCTCGTCAATCCAGGTGCGACGAAGGTCGGGTAGGGGGTCCCTCTGTCAAACACCCGCTGGTTGATCAACATATTTGCTGTCACAGCAAGCAAGGTGCGACGAATGTGACCTCCGGACGAACAGGGTCTCCTTGACTAGGTCCTCCAGTAGTCTATTTTAGTGGAAAAGAACCCTCCCAACCAAAAAGAAACGGTTAAGAAGGGCACCAATTGCTGGGGGACCTAGTTGAAATTCCGGGTGTCACACCATGCGACAAAAAGGCGGGGGACTCGGACTGGTTTCGCACCATGCGATGGTCCGAGGGACTTGTCTGGAGCCATGGGTTCCCGGTGCTCACAAAGAAAACATCGCTGAAAAGGTGCTGTTGAACAATTGTCAATCTAAAGAAAATGTCCAGAGCCTCTCAAAAATGCGAAGGTGATGGGGAACTGTTTGACACCAGAACTTGTCATAGGGGTCAACTATTGCAATTCATCTGCTCCTTACCCTTGTGATTTGATGCTTTAGAGGCTGGGAGCGCCCCTGTCTGATTTCTCACTGGTTGGACCTTTGGTGGAGATCGGAGGTCTTGGTCATTTGGAAGGAAGTCTTCTCCACTGAGCATCGCAACCTCTGGATGTCGGTCATGGAAATCAACACCGTTTCAACGGCAACCTCGAATGCGTCTGTTTCTGGATGCGACCCTCAAACAAAAAGCGAAAACGGATCCCGCTCAAGAAGTGCCCCCTACTTTAGTTCACTTTTTTGGATATGATGTCAACCCCCTGATGGTATTTAATCTTCAAAAACATATGTTTGTTTGTCAACATGCACCCCCCAAAAAAACACAAACAAACAACAAAACCAAGAACAACAGAAAAACAAGAGGCACAATTCACACACACACACACCAATGCACACACACACACAATTGCATTGGTGTTACTTTTTCTGTTGGGGGGTGGGGGGCAGATTTCAACCACACAATCCTCCCCCCCAACAAAATAAAGGGTCAAACCGGGGGCTCCTTCGCGATTCCTCGCTTGCTGGGGCTTCCAGGCCGCCATCTCCAGCTTCACGCCCTCCTCCACCTGCTGCTTCTGCCTGCGGCGAACTGCGCCGCAGCGAAATTTTTGGCGCCTCAGGGAACCGAAGGACCTGCAGTTTTCCGTAGGTTGACTCGCCACATTTCAACCTCCAAAAATCCAAAAGCACTGGCTTTGCGCAGAGCCGAGGGGACCAGAAATCAGGCGCAAATTTCACAGGTGATGAACACTCCTTGGCTCATGGTTACCCTAACAGCCTTCAAATTTGCTTAACACCCTCAAGCGCTTGACCCTCAACCTGCCAGATCAGTCGACTTGCCGCACATCTCTTCTCCAGTTCCAGTCTCCGTCGTTCGAGTGCCCCAGCCGGTCCAACATCTCAAAGAGCCGCTCGCAGGCGCGGGGCCTCGCAGCTTTTGCTTTTCGCGAGGCCGGGCGAGAAACTGGGATGAGCTATGCCCAAAGGACCTGGAAATGACAGGTTCAGCTTTTTGGGTCATGACTAAAGACCAAAAAGGTCAATAGGTCGGCTTTGGACAAGTGAGCTCACTTGATTGGATCCCAAATCGCATAAGGAGTTCCTTTCACAAACCAGCCGTCTTCGGCGGATTTTCTAGAAAGAATTGGATCCCTGGAGAGATCTGGATCATGGGGAACTTACCTCTTCGAGCCACAAATGCCTCTTTCCAACTTGCACGCTCACGTGGTAAGCGTCAAACCAAAAAAACAGTTACCCTTCAGCTCCACAGACTTCAAGGCACTTTGATTCGTGTCCGCTTTCAGGAAATTTGGGCTCTGGGCGCTTTCGGACAGGTCCCTGATGATTCTACACGCAGTTCTTCGGCTCTGTTCTTTTGAGGCTACCTGCTTTGGGGGGTGGTTTGAAGGGACACAACACGGCATCAGTTTGGAGGATCCTTTGAACAAGGACACTTCAAAGCCAGTTCCTGCTTGCCTCTTGCTTTACAAAGAATGTGTCTCCAAACACTTTATCCTAGCAACAGTCGATGAACGCGGTCGAATGGGAACAAACTTCACATAGCCCTTCTCATCGGCAGCTGAAGTTCTCATTTTTTTCTAGCCTTCCCAACCAAAAAGATGGAAACGCACAGACAGAAGTGGATTCGATTCCAGGTCACTTCCCATTCCGGGCCACATTCCAACGAACAGCGTCGAGGCCCGTGCAACAAGCCTTTGTCCTTCTCGTTGCTCGGGTCCCCCAACCTGAGAGGAATGGGACCCTGGACCCTGGTCTTTGGACATCCCTTTTTTAAGCCAGCCCCGCCTTTTTTTGGGGGGAAGACACCCTGAGAATTGCCAAAGTGGGCCAGTGTTGAGTACATTGTCTTAAAGAAATGGGCTCCTTTGGTATCACACATGGGTCTGAAAACCCAGATTTTCCACAACCATGGGGTTGTAAGGAAAACTCAACCCCAAGTGTTTCCGGGGAAAGGCAGTGCGACAGAGCAAGATGAGTCTGACCAAGTTGCGGGGAAGTGCAGGCAGATCTGGCAGTCCATCACTGGCAGAGCCGGGTGTAAAGAACCAAAGCGGACATAGCAGCACCCATTTACGGCTGGGATTGGCACTTCCTCTGTCTATGGCTTTGATTGCCCCGGTGAAAAACCAGCTGCAGGGTCCCGCTTCGCGCCATTTTGCGCGATGCTCCGTTCGCGCTGGGTCGCGCTTATCTGGGCTGTTCCTTTGACACTTGGCTCACGCCACGGCCCCTCCTGCCACACACTGGTTCATGGACAGGATGAGCCCATCCGCCCACGCTGGCGAGGCCCTCTGATTTCATCCAGATACTGCATGTGGAAACTGGGGGCTCCTTGGATTTTTGCCTGAGACACCAAAGCGGGAAACCTGACACCTAAGGCATGGTTGAAATGCGAGACGCTTGGATGCTCCACTTCTAAGGACCCGTTCTGAGTGAAATGGAACATGGTGCAACTAGACTCGCCATGAGACTTTTTTCTGTCGCAATACTTTCTTAAGCCACTCACCCGCATTGCGCAAGGTGACTCCGCCTCTTTCACTTTCCAGCGTGCGCGTCTACCTCAGAAAGCTGACTGGCTGACCGCCGATGGGGTGACGCTGGGAATCCATGGGCCGCGCGCCTGGGAGACGCCAAGATGAGAGCTCGGCACGCTGTCCGATTTTCATGTACGCTGCAATTGATGCAGATGCGCGTCACAAGGGCGGCCGGAAGTTGCATGCTGGCTGGATGCCGGAACTCCGGAGTCAAATGTACAGTTCGAGAGATCGCGCCATCATGTTCACTGAGCGAGGACTCTCTATTGCATAAAAGTCGCTTCAATACTTGCACCGCGCCCCAACGAGAGCGTTCCGACCCACACGCCCAAAGTCCGAAAAGCGATCGTGTTCGACGTTGAAAACCCGCACCGCGCCACAACCAGAGCGATCTGACCACAACCAGAGCGATCTGACCCGCTCAAAGTCTGTAGAGGGTTCACGGTCAACGTTCTCTAAAAACGCGCGCCGCACTACAGCAACAGAGATCCAACGCGCCCAGAGTCCGCAAAGGGTTGATTTCGATGACAGTGAGGACGATCCAGCACGACCAAAGTCCGCAGAAGGTGCACCAATACACAATTTCGGGCCTTGCACGGCTCCACGTTGTCCTGAAACAGAGGCCGCCGAGCACTGTTGTGACATTTAGGATTCTACAAGATAGTTTTGTTCGAGCCTGCGTCTGGTTGCCCTGACTGAGCCGGTCGAGTTTGTGAGAAAGGTTGCAGCTCAATAATGCAATTACTAGTTACTCGTTCTTCTAAAGTGCGGAAGGTTGAAAGGGAACACGAGGAAAGTCCCAAAACGCCAAAAAGGTGAAGGGAACATAAGCCATGGTCCAAGCCCACCAGTAAAGAATTCGGGCGGATATCCAATAGATCGGAATACCTTGTCTGAACCTTGGGCTTTGATTGCTAGGAAAACCAAGCGCGTCTGTCTTTTTGGGAGCACCTCTGCTTTGGGAACCGAAAAAGAGCAGAGCCCGCCATCTTGGAGGAGTTCGCCAAAAAAGCGAAGCACCCAAATGAGATTCAGGTGAGTTCCCCGTCCAGAGGTCAGAGGGCAAGTTACGGCCTGGGCAGATCGGAGGTGCAAATCCTGCGGGAACTAGGGCGTCGACCTCCGAGAAAACGAACGCCGCGCCGCAAAGCCACGCCGGCGGTGCACGCTGAGTGAAGGTGAATCTGCATCCATTTGGGACATTCTTTACTCCACTGGCTGGATGTTTTGAACCAGTCGACCAATCAGATTCAAGTTGTGCCAATTATCGAGAAGCTGTTTTGGGTCAAGTCGGTCCCAAACCAAACCCTATATGTTAGGGTCGATCCTGCTTTTTTGCCAACGAATGCTTGTGGCTCTTCAAATGCACCGAGGCGTTGCCATGCCGAATCTGACGGGGCAATATTCAAAAAAAAAAAAAACGCCTGGGCAGCCCGTGACTCTTGTAAAGCGAGTCACTCGCTTTCGCACTTTCGGAAACGCGCTTCGGAACATTTCACGTCTCACGTGGTCCAAAAGCCCGGGGCCAAAAGCCGAAGACTGCCAACACGCGCACACACGTTGAATTCGTGAAAGGACACTTGGAGCACACGAATCCACTGGACCTTGCGCTCGCGACACACTCCTACACATCCGAGAATCAATTCTGCGCTCGAGCCAGCGAGCGACGCCTGAAGCTCGCTGAGAGGAAGCACACGAGTCAAAAACCTTGACGCGGATGGCCCGTCTTTTTTTGAGGAACCCCCTCTTTGTTTTGCTCTTGGGGAAACCAAAAGGACACCATCATTTTGGCAGTTCCCCGAAGAGACACAGCCACATCCTTTCGTCCAACAGCAAGCAAACCCTTGAGATCCTGACTCCGTAGGGCTCTTTGGGACAAAAGCCCGCCCCACGGGAGTGTGGATGCCCCTTTCAAAAACCCACTGTGCCTGAACAAACAATCGAGTTCACCATCGAAAGTATACAGCCAGGAACTTAGGAAATGGGGCGTGGCTCAAAACTTAAGGGGACCACATACTTTTTTGTCTACTTCTCCATATATTCAGGGTTCCAAATGTTGGTTGCACAGATTCAACGATTTGTCTGAGCCACACCAAAATTGATGTTCCAGCGATTCGCCAGGCTCTGCCAGGCTCGCAGCGAAAGGACGCTGAGACAGGGCCGACTTCCAGCGGTTTCTGTGGCTGAGGACGTGGGGAATCGATAGGACACCCCCACGAAACGACCGAAACCGTCCCATGTCACGCACTCAGATGCGCAGTGCGGACACAGGAGAGAAGCTCGCCCGAACTCTGTCAAGTAAAAAAGGCAACTCACCGTGCAAACTGGCTTCGCAAAAGGATTGGTAGTCCCAGCCGTTTGGCCGGCCCCATGGCATGCTGGACCATCCAAAGGTTCACCGGAAACTTTCCGCTTTGCGGCCACTTCGCTTCGCTCGCTTTTTTTCGCCTGATGGGTCCAGCAAGGTGGGGATACCAACTTTTTCACCGTGGGGTTCCCCCCATTCAAAAAAGAATGGGGGACGCAATCTGGCTGTGGCTCAAAAAATGGTACCCAAATGGGTTGCCCTGGTAAGTGGAAATATGGGAACCCAAAACCTGCGGCTTGCTCCTCCGATCGTTTCATTTTGAGCCACACCCATCTTGCAGCTTAAACCGGAAAGGTCTGATGCCAGTGATCAAGACCAAGCTCGCCCTGAAAGTCGGAGGCACCTGATCGCGGCTTGAGGGGGGAAGCCCCCAATTTCCGCTGAAAGGATCCAGATGAGATCCATTTTGGGGGGTCCAGATTGGGATTTCGAGATAAAAAAAACGTATATCCAGAATCCAGAGATTCGGATGATCCACATCGGCTGGCTCCGGCTCGGGTCCGAGCGAGGCTGGCTGGCCCGTTTTGCTTAGAACTCGCAGGGCATCAAACAGAGATCGCGGGCCGGAGATCCCATCCGGCATTCCCGCAGGCCTGGCTGACCGGTTCGTCATTTTCCATCAACTTCAATATTGACTGGCAACCACAATTGGCTGAGCAAGCCACCACTTTACGCAGCATCAGAATGAATCGCAACGCATGCCAATGAGCATTTCTGTGTCAGCGGAGCAACTCCGCTGATGCCAATCTACTAGGCCAAAATTGCTTGGCGCTACGTAGCCACAAATTGATTCCATGTGGTCTCCACTGCACCTGCAAAACTCCAAGCTTCCCAGAGCAAAAGCGGGAATTCGCAGATCGCCCAGTCTTGCTGAGAGGCTGAATAAAAGACACCCCTATCTCATGGTGATGAAGCCAAAGTACCACATATTGCCAGATCGAGTCCGCTGAAAGGGCAAACAAAAGCCTGACCCAACCAGAAACCAGCCGGGTTGAGTACCTTCTGAACACCAGGGCAAATTATAACCAGACCGAAAAAAAAGGGGAATCTTATGCAAGAAACCTTATGGGTGACGTCGCAAACTCCCCATCTCCCGAAACGTGACGTCGTGAAAGACCATTGGGAGTGCAATAAACCTAAACTTCAATGAAAACTGGAGAGTTCCTCATCTGCAAAACCCTAGCTCTAAACCTGAATGTAAGAACTCGCTTGCTCAAAGGACCTGAACATGACAGGCTTCTGGAAGCTTGACGATATGGGCCAAAAAGGGAAAGCCGCAAGGCCAGGCAGTTCGATTCGCTTTCGGGCAGTTGAGAGAATCGTGAGTTGTCTGGGTTGCTTTACCCCTTGAACATTACACCTCCCAAAGAAAGCGATCCTTAAAATAGCAACAGGTGATGTGGTTGTGTCTTTTGGGGGATGGCGCAATATGGCGGCGCAACCGGTTTTGTTTGGTTTCCCCTTAAAAGCAGATGCCCTCAAGAAAAGACGAGCCATCCATGTTGAACATCATCTTGCCTCGTGCAGCTTCAGCCAGCCTTCAGCCGGCCTGCCACAAGTATCCCGCAAGTCAACTCTTGGGATCGGCGGACGCGAAACTGGCGAAACTGTATGTGATGCCTCTCCAAAAGTTTCCAGGATTTTTGGGTGTGTCCTCTTTTAGGGGACCCCACAAATGGGTGTTTTTTCCCGTTGGCTTCCCTTCAATCCAGAACAACACGAACCACACACACGAACACTCATTTAAGCACGACATGTTCATGTTCGCATGGCCCAAGCCACGGCAACTTGCGTCAAGAAGAATCTGAGAAGGCCTCCTCCCAAAAATCGGGCTGGAGATGCGAATTTGGAACTATGCCCAGACCTTACCAAACATTTTCGCCCAGACCCGACTGAGAACATGTAGAGACCCGCTTTGCTTAAGCACCTCCGAACAAACGGCTGTAGCGAGGAGAATTACATTGGATTGATAGTCGTTCATGGTTTGAAGCTTTCTCAGAATAACTCGAGAATACGCTACAAGAAACCCTCTAGGTTGTTCAAAACTAATCCGGAGGCCAATGGGACACTACGGCAAGGGACTTGATTTGAAACCTGACATAAGGGATTCCCCAATGAAGGACCTACATTGTGGCTGTCGCCCCCCGCCCCCCCCCCCTAGTTCGGTCGAATCGCTTGCCACGTAGTTTGCGCAGGCAAGTCTAAGATATCTTGGCTAGGGGTGCTCCAACAACTCTCGTCTGTTTCATACTTTGTCTTCCCCAAAAAATAGATTCTCGCATAGCGGAAAGAGGATATCATCAAACGTTGACGCGTAGCGTCATCAAGAAAGGGCAAACACGGCTTCCGCACAAGTATCGCTCGAGCCCTAAGAAAGTCGTGTGCTGCAAAGTGACCTGGAATCCCAAACTCGTACTTGAGGACTCAGTTTGGGGGATCGATCGGGTGCCATGTTAAAATTGCAGGGGAGCAATGTTGCCCTCGGAATAAACTTCTGTGCCTATGGGCGTGTTCCACTCTGAAAGTGATGAATCCCCACAAACCCCACAAAAACCAGGGACACCCCAATATGAATAAACAGGGGTTTCTTCTGGGGTCAACATTAGCGAGTCTTTGCAGCTTTTGGCCCGGCTGATTCGTCCAGTGCCCCCCTCGGCCTTTTGCCTCCGGATCCCATGGACTGGAAAACCCGAGCGGTCAGTGGTCACATGGCTTGGGCAAAACATGGCTCTTTGCAGGTCCCACCCTGAAAACCATGGGAGAAGTGCTAGGATCCTTCAAGGGCATCACCAGCGTGAATCAACATGTCACCGCCCATGTGCAGGTTTCAATCCCTACTTTCACATGGGTTTGCCTCAGAATCATGACGGTTTCTCCCCCATTCTTCTGAAAAACCATGCCCGAAAACCGTCGGCGCCTGCCCAAACTGCTTTTGCAGACTTCCTGCGATTCGAAGTGCGAATGTGGAAAGCTCATCTCTTTTTTGGGAGGGCACCATTTTTTTTCTTCAAGGGAAACCAAGAAGACCCCACCACCCCATTTTGGGGGTCCCCTTTGAGACAAGCCCAACGTGGAATCCCATTCGGGGTGCTTGCGAGCCCTTAGGCTGCTCAGGCAGCCCTCCTGGAGCCCCCCAAATGCGCGGCTTTCCCGTTGATCCCCCTAAAAGAGACCGGGTGGTGGTGGGGATGTGCTTTTAACATGACATGCTACAAAGCACCGTCTTTTACGGTATTTTTCTGGTAAAGCAGGGCTGAGAACTAGGTTTAAACCAAAAAAAAAACACCGCCGAAAAGCGTAGCCTCAACATTTTACACCCCCACTTGTGGCGCACTCCGGTGGAAACGCTGGTACAAGACAAGTGCGTATGAGAATACCATGCGCTTGCTGCCTTGAGAAGTTCCGACGTTCCGATTATGAACCTCCTCTGCTTCGCGCCATTGATGTCGTCCAATTTGTCCAGATCAGGGGGTGTCTCCCATGTCTCTCTCTTTTTTCTTTTTCTGAGGGTACCCTTTCTCCCATTCACAAAGCCCATGGGTCTCTATCTTTCCGGCCTGTGAAGCGGTTGATTCACGGGACGACAGATCTCAGTTCCAAGAAACCAAATCGGCAGAAACTTGATTTCTGTTGACCTGTGCAAAAAGTTTAGCTTCTGCGGGTTTGGTAGAAAACCCCTTGATTTCCCGAAAAGTGAAAGTCTAGAGATCCAACCCAAGAGCAGTCAAGTTTTTGTCGACGCCTTAAGTTTGCCCCAGAAAATCACGTTGAAGGAGCTCTCTGCATCGACTTTCCTCCTGACATGAATTGAGAGGCCCATGGCGATGTAGCTTGACTCGAATCAGAAAGATGCATCAACCCCACAAGTACAGGCAAGCTGCGCGGCCGGTGGAAACAGTAGAGGGCGCCATTGGAGGGAGGGTCGGCGAGGTTGGCTTTGGGGGAAGCCCAAAGGAGAACCGATGCGCTCCATCCAAACCTCGGATTTTTCGTGATTCGACACATCCGGGCTGAGTCTGGGTGATTCGCCCTTCAGTCTTCAGTCCAACGAACTAAGGCTCCAGGCTTCCTTTTCTTGATTGACGTTGGAAGGGGAGAAAAAACAGTTAAGTGGGGATTTCCAACTAAACCACAGTAAACACCATGTAAAATGTTTCCCAACAACAACCATGTTTCGGGGAAACGTGTCATTTCGACGGTGATTCAAGGTCCCCCCTTCGTCTCGACCTCTCGGGTTTGCCTGCGCTGCCACAGATTGGACATCTGCGGCCTGAGGCGTGTCTCGTTCCCATTAAGATCCCATTAAGTGGCGTGGTCGAAAACCGCGGCCAAGGATTTGTTTCAGGTCGGTTTACAGGGACATGGAGAGGCACACCACCTGTCTTGCCGGGCGGGGTCCTGTGCTCAAATGCCCGATGGATGCAAACCCCTAGTTTCCTCCAAGGGCTTCAATAAGTTTGATGGAATTGAGTAGATCCGACTGCAATCTCCTGTCAACTTGGAGCCCTCCAAATATGAGCTTGCTGCCATTGTGCGAAAAGAAGGCTGAGCAACGGTTAATTACTACACGAAAGAGCCAAGAAAGAGGGCCCTGCCGACATGAAACGCCAGAAGCCCGTCCAAAGACCAAAGGACAATCAGCCCCAATGCAAGTTGCAAACAACTCACTTCAAAGTATGAATTGAGAGATCCAAACAAAATGCATGGGCGAAGGTGTCGTATGAATTCCAGAGCTGGCCAGAAAGCCCCTTCGATTGAATTTTCTCAAATTCGGGGGGGGGGGGGAAACAATTTTCGGCGGCGACTTTCGAAAATGCTTCCACTTTCATAGCAGCCAACCCAGTTCATTGAGAAGTGGGAGAACCCCAGGTGCCAGACCCAATGGATTCTGGCAGCTGCTGCGTGAATTTGCTGGTCAGCTCGCAATCGCGTCATATCAACTCTGGAGAGACTGTCGGCCAAGGTCAGAAGCCCAACCACGGAACCGACAGCAGCTTGACGTGTGGGCGCAGCAAGCGCCGCACCAATGGCTTTCGCCAGCTGTTGGGAGGACCCCTCTGCATGGGCAATGACTCCAACAGAGCATGGCATCATAGCCATCGGAGTCTGAGAATGAAGTCGGCACACTGCCCCCCCCCTCCCTGCAGACCGCAAAATCCAGGTGTGTACGTTTTTGCATGCATATACAGATTTACAAACATATGCATGCATATACGTTGGATGCAGGTATGGGTGTGTGTCCTGAAAAGAATTGCCCACATCTGCGCTCCTCCCAAAACGATTTTTCCAGGAAGCCCAAAGAAGGAGCGGGTTAGGGCTGATAAGGGAACTTCTCGGTAAAGGGTCTTCATGGGGGAGCTCGTTTTGCCAAGTGAGTCACAATCAAAACCTGATCTTTGAACAGTCTAGCTGCCCCACACCATGTAAAAGATCTGGCGCGCATCTGCGTCTGGGGGTTGTCCTCTACCTTCATTACCCGGGTTCGATTGTTGCCCAACCGCGCTGGGTATGAGTTTTAATCGGGGGACCCCATGGTGGACATCGTTTGAGTGGAAATTTGTCCACTAGCCATCCTCAAAATTCCAGTCGCCAGGCCCAGGCCCTTCCGCCGAGGAGCTTGATCGATTGCATCGGGGGTGCCTCCTGACAGCCAGATGGGGAAGCAAACACTTTGGCTTTGGTCTCTAAGTCAGCCAAAAAGGCTCTGTGTGCGTGATGTTTATAAAGTGGGTGTTCACTCCTGGTCTCCTTTGCGGATCACCTGGGTAGGCGGCGCCGTGACGAGACAGCGGGCAGGGCGTAGCACGAGAAACATGGTGCAGCCCTCCTGCGGGCAGTGCCAGCCACCGACTGCGGCCGCCGCGGGGCGGCTTGCAGCTTTGCAACTCCAAACGACCAATGCGATTGATTGAGGCTCCATGGCCGGATGACCAAGCCCAAGTCTTCCTAAAGTTCGCAGCACCGGAAGCAACAAATCGACAAACAGCCAGCAGGGAATGCGCTACTGTGGCACGAACGTGCACTGCGCTGGTCCGGTGTGTGTTGTAATTAGCACTGGAACCCCAGCGCGCGACTAGACGCACAACGCGGCAAACCACAAGTTGCTGCTGTGTGGGCGCCTGGCCGCTCCGTCTGGCTTCCACTTCTCGCTGCTGATCATCAAGTCTGGAGAAGAGACACGAGGACACGTAGCGCCAGGCCCTGATGCAAGCTTCACCGAATCTACTTGAATGCCGGGATGGCATGCTGCGCCATGGAGCACTGCAGATGGCTAATTCCGCATCAGCACAAATGGCTGCGCCCATTCAACCTTGGCAACCACCTTCCCTCCAGCCTGTTCAGCGCCTCTCATCAGTCCACCTCCTTGATCTTCTTGAGGTTGCGAAGTGTGACCGCATGCACTGTGCCCCTGCCATGTGAGGCAAGTCCCCTGCGCGTTCTCGACCAGCACCACACGCGATCCCAGCTGCTCTGGGGCCATGGTCACCGCCCGAGCGTTGGCCGCCCCGGCCACCTGCTGGCTGCAAACTCCTTGGGTCTATGCCATCTGGCTCGCTCCCTTCAGGAATCATTAGGACGGTGATTAAGGATCCTTAATATCCTTACTACCAGGTAGATGACCAGTCAACCCCCAGGAAAATGGTCTTGACCATGGCACACATCCTGATGTACCAGTCATTCTTTGGGTGGCTGATTGGGATTTCTGTCCGAAAACACACCCTACTCCCTGATCAAAAGAACCGGGACCTTTAAATCAGGCCCTTTTGCGCTCTCTGACCTTTTAACAGAATCACAAAGTGATCTGCTCAATTGGGGACACCTGGGGAATCGTGTCAGGGGAATCAAAAGCGAAGTCAGCCATCTTAGAATGGTGCTGCTCCATATTGTTTTGGCCAGTTTGGCATACCTCAAGAATAATCCACCGCTTTTAGGAAGGAAGCGTATGGATGAACGTTTCGAAAGAAACCTTGGTCTTGGGGTTCTCAAACAAAAAGAGCATTCCGGGAGCTGAGAGATCGAGAGATCTGAGCGTAGCAAGGCTGTTACAAGATGCATGAAATCGGTGGACGAAAGATGTCTTCGGCAAATTACTATCATTCGCGCATAGGAAACCTGACGGGACAGCGCGTCTTACTCGAGTTCGTCCCACCCCCGAACCAAAGGAGGGGGGTCCTTTGGAAGAGAGCATCTCTGGACAGGAGGAAACTTACGATGATTTACCACAAGAATCCTGGGACCTAGCGGACTCCAACGATGGAGGGTCCAATGCGAACAACGGCCAAGCACCAACAGACACCGAAACACCACACTCGCAAATAAACCCACAAACACACACACACATGCACTTTGAATGGGGCCACAGGGTGATGTTTGAAGCCACCAGGAATATTTTCAGAGAGCGTCGTTGGGTTATTCGCCCCAAGTTGCTGACAAAGATGATTCAGCGATCAGGGAGTTGCCCTCCCTCCAACTCACATGCCACCTGCTGTTTCGGGCGGTCCTGGTTTGGACCATATACCTTTTCAAGGGACCATTTCCCCGTCAGGTTCCATGCTAATTGGGAGGGCACCCCAGTTGCACGGTGAGCCCGACAGAAAAGGGGAGCTGGTTTGGCGTGTTTGGAGATGCGAGGTCCTTAGGGCCCAAGAAGAAACATCCGCGCACATGCAGTTCCATTCTGTCAAGGGCTTCTTGCTCCCCCCGTCCGAGAGCAGACTTTGAGTTGATCCCTTGCTTCCGGGAGAAGCCTGGGTTTTTGTCTAGCGAACCAAACGACTAGAACCCGGTGTCCGACGAGTACCGTCTCCTGGCTGCGCACACAGGCCACACTGAACTTTTGTCGCGTCCGGTGCCGCCTCGCAGCAATGGCCTGGCAAGTTGCTCCCAACCAAATCGAGTCGAAATCTGGCTCCAGACCAAAGAAGGGAGGAAGTTTGGAGATTGATCACAGGAATTGAGGTGACGATCTGGTCAAACTGTGAGGATTATTGTTTGAGATGCTTCCACAACAACATAACACATATCCATGCTTCTCGACCTATCACGCACTATTCGACTGTATTTCGTGATTGGTCATGAGTTTTGAGGTTCCACACTGAACCAAGGACGACCCGCGAAAGGAACCAGCCCCTTTTGCCTTTCAATGGGCCATGAATGATTCAATTTTTCGCGGGCTCCTCTGAATAGACTCCTCTGAATAGTAGCGTGCTCCGGAGTACGGCACATGGCACGAGTTCCCCGTCTTGGTTGTATCAAACCCCTCTCTTCCCCACATAATAGCTGAGGCTAAGCCCCGATCGGGCCGAGGCAAACGTCTCTTGACTTGTCTTGCTGACTCCTCACCTGCCACACCGACCCACTCTCAAAGTGAAGTGTGGGCATATGTGAAAATAGGGAGACCCCACAAATAGTGGTTTCCTTTTGGATTCCCGTCAAACCAACCTCAAAGCGGGTGCCTTCAGAAGCAACACAAACACATGCTACAGCCTATGCTGTGGATGGCAGGAAGTAATTAGTCTCTTTCGTCTGAAGATGACGCCTGAGTGCGAGGGAACTGCCACCATAGGATGGTCGCGGCTAGGAGAGAACTTCCCATGACTCAAAGACCATGCGAGTGCTGGGGCTAATGAGAGCTTCGAAAACACGGAGATCCCTTCCAGCATGGGCTCCTTTTGCGTGACACCATCCCCATCAATTGAAGACAGCAAATGCAAAGAGAGTTCGGCAACTGGGGTAACAAAAGCAGCAACACCTTGCGAGCGCGAAAACCATCTTCGGCCCGCTTGAATCTTTTTTGCATCACCCGCTTTCACTCGGCCTGCCTAGGCCCAGTCTTTGGGGTATGATTTCTATTTTGAAGGTAAAAGAAGAGGTGCCTGAGGCAAAGCAAGAAAAGGCAAAGATCAACTCAGGGCACCGCATGCTCCAAAAAAGATAACGCAAAACAAAGGCTCCAAAGGTGTGGGGAGTCGCGAATGTGCACGTGTTCGTGACACATACCTTCTTGACATACCACAAGATCCGTTTAAGATACTCATGGGACCTCTATTGTTGACCCCGAATTCATAGCCGGACTTGTTGTGGTCTCCATGGGACGGCGTGAGCAGTTCCGGTCCCCAACTTTGATGGCCTGGCCAGTTTTTATACGGATTCATAAACCCATCCTACTAGAGGGGTGTCACCCACAAGAAACTTGACCCTCCCCGCATTGCACCCAAACGGAATTTTGTTCCTATTATGTTCCTGGACCATTTCAGTCAACGCATGGAAGAACTTGGAATGAATCCATGAGCCCCATTTGACACATCTGAGGTTGATCAAAAGGTCCTTTTACACGGGGTGACCATTAGGGAAACTGCCGAAAAAAATGGCATCAACGACTAAATTTCCGGAGCAGTTACCAATGATCATTTCGGGGCCAGTATTGATCAACCCGAAGGTTTTTCGAGGGTACCCCTGTTTTGGTAGGTTTTAACCGGACACCAAAAGGAAGCCGTCATGTGGGGTCCCTTAAAGAGAGACAAGCAAGTTTTAACGGGAAACCAAAGGAAAATCGTCATTTTGGAGGTCCCCTAAGAAAAGGACAACCCCACATCAGCCGGAGAGTTTGCGCGAATTCGACCGAATCCGCCTCCATGAATTCGGTTGCCTTCGCTTCCTCCTCCTCGCCCTCTTCGTCCACCGAGGAAAACGACCTCGGAGTCGAGTCGAATCTTTTGGGTTCGCGGGAACCTTTTCCTCGGAATGTGCGAAAAGGGGCTCATCATGCCCCAAGATCAAGATTTCAGGGCCAAACACCAGCAAAATCAAGTGGCAACCAGTAAAAACCAGAAAGTTAGGCAAACAACCATTTCGGAGCTCAGTTACCACCATTAAAACAATGGTTGGTGGGTCAATATCACCACCATTGTTTACCTTTCAGGATTGTCATCATCTACATTCGGTCTTTGCCAGTCCTTTCATGGAGGCAAGGAGCTCTAATCTATTCACTTCACTCACCCGATTGTTTCACCAAAGTCACCTAGCGGGGCTGTCCTAAGATCCCCCAACAAGTGAGTTTAACTTAAAGGTGGGGTGAATGGAACCCCCCAAACCACAGTATTTCTGAAACCTACGGGACCGGACAGCTGTCAACCGCGCGAAGTAGTAGACTAAAGGGACACGACTCCAGTTCCGACTTTGATAACCAGGAACAGTTAGAATAATGACCCCAGCCCCAAATGGCTGGCTTCTCTTCACTTGATCTTGTGGTTCTTGGCTTGCATCTTTCGTTTCCTCGCTCTCTCTCTCTCGCCCTTTCTCTCCCTCTCTCTCTCTGTTTCTCTATCTGTGGTCTCTCTCTCTCTCTCTCTCTCTCTCTCTCTCCCCATCTGTCTCACTCTATGTCTCTCGCTCTCTCTTCCTTTCTTGCTTTCTTTCTTTCTTTCTTTCTTTCGTTCTTTCGTTCTTCCTTCCCTCCTTCCCTTTCTTTCTTTCTGTCTGCCTTGCTTTCTTTCTTTGGTGCTGTCCTTATATATGTGACTTTAATTGGCTTTCTTTCTTCTGGCGATCAAAAAAGGAAGACGAAGCGCATGTTGGCGGGCAGTGTCTGGTTTGTGCAGTTCCCACGAAGGAAATCAGAGTTCCAGAAAAATAGAAGCATTTTGATAAACATATGAAGCAGATAATGCGCTCTTAGAATGACAAGACTGTAAACACCTCACGTTACTCCTGAATATCACTCAATGGACACCTGACGCCCCGGACCTGTCCAAGCCCAGAGCCATTCAAGAATTCGACAGGCGGATATCCGCACCCAAGAATAAACGCGCTGCCTCCAGCTGAGAATCCGGCTCACACCCCAACCCCCATGGAAAGGCAAGTCGCACACCGCACGAGTGACTGCATTCATAAAGGGGAAACAAACCTAATACACATGTGTATATATATATATATATTGTATACACAGTATATTATATGCTACAAGTCATATATGTTTCCACCTGCCATATTATGTCAGTCCGTGAATAAATCAATAAATCAAAACACACCATCTATGTATGTATGTATGTATGTATGTATGTATGTATGCATGCATGCATGCATGTATGTATGTATGTATGTATGTATGTATGTATGTATGTATCTGTCTGTCTGTCTGTCTGTCTGTCTGTCTGTCTGTCTGTCTATCTATCTATCTATCTATCTATATGTTAACTTGTATATACCTGCAGGCCACCAGCCCCCACCGTGCACCCGTTTGAGTGTCCGTCGTGTCCGGCTTGGAGTTTTCCGAGGCTGCGGCACTGCTTTGGGTGAGGTCGGTGTGCTACTGGGGGCGTGGGTCAGAGATGGCGCCGGCGAGATGAAACTGGATTCCTCGGAAGACCGTGGGGGGAGTCTGTTCGAGTCCGTTCGGCGGTGTTCTTGTGGCCCCGTGGGTAAGACTTTCCGGGCTTTCCCATCCAAAAGAAATGGTGGCTAGGTTCTCCTGTGGAGAGCTTAGAAGAAGGGTACCCAATTTTTTCGGTAGTCTATTTTAGGGGAACCCTCCCCGAACAAAGGGTGAGAAAGGGCACTACTGGGGGGCCTAGTCAAGAAGGTACTTGAAAACCCTTTCTGCTATAGAATCAGGTGTATAAATTGATCCCCTTGTAGTACCCTCAAGTTACTCAAGGGCTTTGGGCTATGTGGGTTGATCAATGGTTATTCCCTTCGGCCCCCAGGTTTGAACATTGGTAACTTTTCCCATTGAGTGGTTGAACTATTTCATCTTTTCAGTCGTTCCCCCAAATGGTCATCGTAAAGGACCTTTTGATCAACGCCGCGGCACTTCCACGTTCAACGTGGTGCCCGTTTGACGTGACTTCTAGGCTGTGGTTCCTTTGGTGTTTTGGTTTAAGTGGACACCAGTGGTTGACCAACCAGTTAGGAAAACAACCACAGGGTTCAGCTACCATGAGAAAACCATGGGGGCTCGTATAACCATCATTCTTTCTTTCCTGAGTGTCATCCAGGGAACAGCTCTTCGTTTTTTGTTGTTTTCGGGGGGGGGGGGGGGAGGTACGGGAAAAAAACAACATTTCTGTGATACAGAAAGGGTGGTGGATTCTGGTCTGACACTATCAAGGATCACAGAAACTAGCTGCAACCCTCATTTCCCCACAACTGTTGGATGCTCAGCAGACGAGGTGATGGTATGTCAACCAAGCCCGTCCCACTTGCATGGAACCTAACTTGCCTTGAATGAATATCCAAGGCGAAATGCTTCGCAGGCGTCTGCTTCTTTCCACTTTTTACGCACATGCGCCCCTGGGTTCCATGTGGGTCAGCGGCAGAACTGCAACCCTCGCGTATTCCAATCCTGATCACTTCAGATTCCAAGTTGGAATGCCAGTATTTGGGCCTGTTGGTGTGGCTCAAACAGGGGGTCACCCTGACATGGGTTGCCCTACAAAATGGAAACATGGACAAAAATATGCAGTCCATATCATGGTGGTTTAACTTTGAGCCAATGTCATACTCAATGGAGTGACAACTGTTCTGCACTCTGTTCGGCTCGGCCAAAAAGCATTGGCCTGCGGCTACTGAGGTGCCATATGCCGCAGCAAACTGATGGGTCGCCGCGACTCGACCCCCAGCCAGTTCCCCAAAGTACCTCCAATCTTTACATGAAAGGCGATATGGTTTGCTCCAAAGGACATGGGTCGGGGCTGCCCTAACGCTAGACTACCAAAAATATGTTGTCAGGGACACGATATGTTTGTCCGTCGTCCCAAATCACCCAAATGAGTGCCATAGTTTCCTTTTTCCCCGGAAAAGGAAGCTACTTGATAGATGTGACTGATTTCCCGCACCAACAGCTATCGCTCGCATTAAATCCAACTGGCCACATCCAATAAGGTGGGGTCTTCTCTGAGCAAACAAAACAAATCTGACTTGTGGAAGCCCAACGGAAGATCCAAATGACCAAACTCCGGATCCCAAAGAGCCCGGTGCAAATCCACCTCAGATTTTGCCCAACCAAAAAACATGATCCTGGAGAGCCTTGAAATGCTGTAGACAAATTTTAATTCCCGAGGGTTCACCCCCCCAAACAAAATTGATGATGGCCATCCCGAACGGTAAACAATTGCGGTTATATGAATCCCCATTGTTTCAAATTTTGGCCACCACACTTTCGAGGGTGGATATGACTCCTGATTATCTTGTTGTGTACACCCTTTTCATTTTGGTCCAACAATAGAAACCGAAACACAATCTTTTAACCGAAGCCAAAAGAAACCACACACACACACACACACACATTTCAATGGACACCAAGAGGAAACAAACACACACACGCACACACACACACACACACACACACCTAGCCTCTCCATGGCCCTTCAAAACTGGGTCCATGACCCCATTATGTTGGGTTCATGACCCCTTTAGGGTCACGGAGACTCCAGGCACATGTTTTGTGGCTCCCCTCGAGAAGCCCTTCGTGCCCCTCCGGCCGGGCGGCTCCGAAGCGCAGCTTCCGAGCTTGCGACGGCGGGGAGCTTGGCTCGCGCTCCTGGACAGGACGGCTGTCCAACCCCCCAAACCCGGTGGTTTTTAAGGACCCCCCCCCCGAAACCCGGACGGGTTGTTTCCTTCTCTACTTTTTTTTTCGTTGTTTAAGGGAAGCCGAAAGAAGGGTGGTTGAACAGCAGTGGCCTCAACATGTTTATAGAAAGGCCAACAGCTGCTTTTTCAAGCACGCGATTCCCAAACATGGTAACCAAAAAGCAGTGGTTTTCCTGTGGACTGCCTGTCACGCTTTTCGGGGACAAACCTTTTTGGCTTCGGCCGTTCGGCGAACGGATTGCCGATCTGGAAGTGTTCCTTTGACAGAAACTTGATGGGCCCAAGCCCATCCAGACTAACAGCAGAGTTCCTGAGAAAAAAAGGTCTAAAATGGGCCCAAACGCTTCTAGAGAAGTCTTAGAACCAATGAACAGTGTATTGAACAGTGTCCAACCCGAAGGTCTGCTCGATTTAACCTGGGTGTTGCTTTACCCACTTCACAAGCACGAGTGGCCCGTGCTGTCGCAATCCGGCCCAAGGCCAACGCCTTCCAGAGGCAAAACCCATCCCTAGGGTTCCTCGCCGCCAGTAGAAGGGCAAAGACCCCATTTGGATGATGCAACTCCCATAGGTAAAACATGGTCTCGATAAGGGTACCCGATTTTTCTTCTGTAGTCAATTTTAGTAGGGGACCCCTCCCAACCAAAAAGAAACGGTGAGAAAGGGCACCAATTGCTGGTGGACCTAGTGGTGGTTATTTTTTTGACCCCCTGTGTTCATGGTAGCTGCACTGGCGGGGCACCTGATGACATGGAGAGTTGTCAACTCTGGAACACCACTCACTAAGCTAAGGGGATCGCTGGGAGCCACCAAGCCCAACTGGAACAAGAAGCCGTGAATGTACGGCAACTTATCGGGGTTTTGTAGGCTGCGGTTGGGTTACTTGCAATATCTACCAGATTCTTGGAAGCCAAACGGTGGTTTAAAGGGTTCCTACCCCAAAAAGTAGCATTCAAAATTATCCACCCATTTTTCTGGTCCATTGTTTCGGGCATCCACAGCAGCGGTACTACATCGTGATTAGCTTTGCCCTAACTAAAACAATGCTGGAGTCCAGTCCTATAGCTCAGAATCTTAAAGGCGAAACAAAGTTAAAAGAGACGCCAGACGTTTGGTTTCACGTGCTCTTGCTCGCTTCGTCCTCCATGTCGGGCTTCATGGCTACGCCATCCTCAGTCTTCGCGCAAGAGGCATGCCAGTGTCACCTCAAATTGGGAAGCCCCTTTTAGTTGTTAAAAAGGAAAACGGACTGGGTTAGGCTGCTCAAATGGTGATTGGGGGGGGACCCTAGTGGGACACCACTGCAACAAGAGCTGGTCTGCGACCCAGTGCAAAAAACAATAAAGCTCCGGCCGGCCCGGGTCATATTAAAGAGAAACCAAGGATAGAGCTAAACCCAAGGAGTACCGACCAATTTTTTCCGCCTTCTCCCCTTCTTGGAAACACCCGGATGCTACGAACACATGCACACCACTTAACTCCACCCGGACATCCAGAAGCTCAACTCGCCCCTCCTCTTTTTCGGTAACAGAAACTCGAAGACCGAGATGCAACTTTTCGGGGTCCCAGCCCCGATTTCACCGGGCGTCTCACACGGTTTCACGGCCGGCTCTTTTTTTGGGCTGGAAGAAATCTCCCATCCCCAAAGTCACGGCCACTGGAAAGGTCTGCGGGGAGTCTCTCGAACTCCGCGGCGAATCTAAGCTCCAGCCGTGTATGCGGGGAAGGGTCCGAAACCGACAGATGTTCCCGAGGGTTTGGACCACTTGCGCACCATTTTGTGCATTTTGTTCCATTCGAGGACCATTTCGGACCATGTTCAGTCCAGGATGGGACACAATCCCCTTCAATTCAGTTACCTTTCAAAACCAAAGGTTGGGTCCATATAAAACCATGATTAGACTTAGAGAGTTGTTGAATTCACTGGTAAAATGTCCCAAGTCTAACCCAGTTTTTGCCCTTCAGGAGCTTCATCCTTCAAATTGGGTCCCCCTGGCCCTTCTTGGGGGCAAGCAAGTTGAACCAAGCCCTGGCGCTCCAAGTGCGGCGCTCTGAAGGGCATGCCGCCTTGGACGCCGAAGTTTCAGCTAAGCTCACGGTTTGGCTGAAGGCTATGTTTCTAGGACTTGAATCATTCTAGGGGTTCTAGGGTTTTGTCCCTAGGGGTTTAGGGTTTGGGGGTTCTGGAGGGGGACTCTTTTCAACCATCATTCTTTCACAAACCAGCCGTTTTACATGGGATTCTGGAGGTTTTCTAGAAAGAAGGATCCCTGGAAAGAATGGGGAAGGTACCCTAGAATGTTCACAGAAACCCAGAGGTTTACCCTGCCTCCCACTAACATGGCACCTGACAAAAAATCCCTTCAAGAGGAAACGAATCTACCAGGTACCTCCCCCATAGGTGCCATGTTAGTGGGAGGGTACCGGGTGTCTTTCGGTTCTATACTTGGAAACGCCGGAAAGAACCAGTGGTAGTGGCTGTGGCAAGAGCATCTGTTGTTGCCCTCTGTTTTTCTTACTGCTGCTGAGGTTATCCTTATCGGTGTGCGAGGAGTTGTTGCTGCTGTTGTTGCGAGGTGTCAGTGGTGGTGTTTGGTAGTGGTGGGCGGTGGGCGGTGGGCGGTGGTGGCTGTGGCTGTGGCGGCGGTGGTGGTGTGGCTGACAGTGTTGCGTTGTGATCTTTATGCCTGTTGTTCAAACTAGCTCCAACATTTGCGTTGGCCTGAGCACTTTCCCTGTTATGTACCAATAGGCTTCCAGGCAATTTCTCATGGAAAAAGGGCTCGTGTCAACTGGCCCAATACTGTCCAACTGAGCTCACATGATTTTTACTGAACTTGCAATGAACCGCCAATGTTTCCAGTGGTCCAAACCTGCCACAATTCCGAAATTCCAATGCGAATCTCATCTGCATGTTACACCCTCAAGCTGATGGTGTTTTAAGATTGTGTTCTATTTTTCTTCTGCTCTGAGTGGGTTGCTGTCATCGCCGGTGTTTGCCGTTGTGCGTTGTTTGTCGTGCTTGCTTGTTGTGGCTGCTACTCCTGGCTGCTGGCGGCTGCCAGCTGAACAGGGACCTCGCCACTCGACGCATTTGCAAATGCAGGGTTGCGCAGCTGCTGCTTGAAAAAAACCGCAAACGCGATCAAAGGAACCTCTCTCGTTGCTTTACCCGCAAACCTAGTGCTCCAGGGGTGCAATGTGCCCATGTTTGTTGTAGTTCGGATTATCCCTTACCAGGGTGCTTTTGACCGGCATACCTGAGAGGAAACTAACACTTTTGGGTAGGCCATACATTTGTTAGCCTAAAAAGGACTAGTCAGATGGTTTGGGAGTTGCCGAATGGCTGGTAACCCTGGTTGTAGCCCGCTTACAATGGCTGTAAGTCCCCTGTAACTCGGGTTACTCACCATTTTAGCTATTCGTAAACTGGGGTTGATTAATATGGGGTCACCATTAAACCAAGTTTGTGCAAGTGGCCGTGCCCTTTTAATTCGGTCAAGAAGCTTGCCGCGCAGGTGAGGCGGAGGAACGCACGCATCCTGGGCGTTCGCTGGGGAGGGTTCCGGGGGGGGGGGAATCCACCCTCTGATTGCTTGGCTGGAATCAGGACCCCCGCAAAAAAAGCTCTTTTTTTGCATGGTTAGTGAAAACCAACGGGGAGTCCAAAAAAGGAAAAACAACAAAAACCAAAAAGGGGAGCCGACTCTGGGGAAGATTGGAGGTTGGGAAGCACGGAACCCAAAGAACGCACACGTTCAACCAATGTTCTAGCCTTAGGTGCGAAATTCGGCGCCCAAAACTCCTGCAGGTCTCCATCCCCATTTCTGCTCAATTCACTTGAAAGGGGGGTTCGGGTCCTACAATCAGGGTTTTCCACGACCAGGGGCGACGGGGGGGGGCAGATCCAGAAGGCAGAAGCACAAAGTCAAATCAGGGATCCTGACTTTCCGTGGTCCCTGTTCCCGTTGCAAAAGTGTGCTGCTTCATGGAGCGGATATTCTCCAAAAGGTAATGCAGTCTTCCGTGCGCCGTGCACGTGTCGCGCAAGGTGACACCTAGAGACTCCAAAAAGGTTCAAAGAGTTCAGGTGGTACCAATCTAGAGAAGAGACGGGATCCGGAGATATCTAGCGGGCAAGTTATTCAGGGCTACTTCTAGCCGGACCTTGAGTCACGAATGAAGAACCACAAACCGCAATTCACGAATCCCGAGCCGGTCATGGCAGGGTGGGGGGGGGGTGGGGGTGGGGGTGGGGTGGGGGTGGGGGGGGGGAACCGTTTTTCGGGGGTACCCTACAATGCGTGTTTTTCGAGGCCGCGAAACACAAACACGCATCTGGAATCCCGCATCACGAGTCACCAGCCTAGTCTTGGGGGGCACAAAGCACGAATCATTCACGAATCGCGAGTCACGAACAATGCCCGGAGGCGTCTCCTCCAGATCGGGACTCAAAGAGAAGGTCAATTTGGTTTGAACAATTCGGCCCCGACCTGCCGCCGAAGTGCAAAATTGGGTCAATCATTCTTTGGATGGGGGATGAATCCTATAGGGCTTTGTTGTACAAGACGATGACTCACAGGGCACCATCTTGAATTGAATTCCTTTGCTCAGAAAGTGCCGCACAACCATGTCACAGACACAGGCATAAACAGATGAGACCAACATGAATTGCCCACCTCGACAAACCAGCCCTCCGAACCTGAACCGACTGAGCAGCTTGTTTTCATTCGACCCGATTTTGGAAGACGAAAGGCTCGCCGCAAAATCCGGTTGAGTGGAGCTTTGCCGCCGCCATATCGGTTTGCCGGTCAGCCAGCTCGGGAGTTGAAAGGATTCGGAAAGTTCTTGTATGGTTCAATGCTCTTCCTATGTTTTAGCCAACATGCAGGTAATACGTATCCCCGTTTGGATTCTTTTTGGAAACAGGACTCTCAAAATACATCTGTTGCTGGGCTGTCCTCAGATCCCCCGCGTCAAATGGACAGCCAACCACTAAACACTAAAAGGTTAAAAAGCTAAGGAACCGGATGGCTGGGAGCCACCAAGGTTTGGTTGGACCTCTGCCTTGCCGCTGGGTCGGAACAACTTGGATCGCAAGCGTTTTTTTGGCGGGGCAGGAGCTCAAAGAGCCGCGGGCGTTAACGAAAGGAAACCATGGGAATGACACCACAAGGTTTGTTGGTATTGGGGAACCATCAGAAACCCGGGTTTCTGAGTTCGGTGGTGCGAACCGGATTTCGTCCATCCACAGGGGCTCGCGACAAATTATTTGGCTTTCCCTCACCCCGACCGGATGTCCATGGAAAAACTGTACCCCTTTTGGACCAGGGGAACCTCCTCAAAGAGAGGGTGGAGACCTCTGATTTACAACTCCTCTTGTGCGGAGAGGTTCATTGTTTGGCAGGACTCACAGTGACCAAAAAATCCTCGGCAATCAACTTGCGACCTTGCTACCTGGAGTGGATTGGCATGAGTCAGAGTTCAAACTTCTTGTTCGCAACTAAAATGGCAGTCCCCCCAATACCTGCCGCGACGAGGGGCCGCATTGTCCATCCGCTCAACACATCGTGGCTATCCTCAATTTCGAGCCAGTCGGGGGGTAGCTTTGCAGGCGTGGGTTACCACCGGTTCAACTTGCCCCCATAAGAATGGCCATGGACCGGACTCAATTTGGATGACACTCCTGAACGGTGAGCAATGGTGCCTAGGTCCTCCAGTAGAGAGGTTGGAATAAGGGTACCCTTTTTTTGGTAGTCTATGTTAGTATGGGGAACCCTCCCGGTGAGGCACTACTGGAGGACCCAGGTGCTTATAAATCAACCCAACCGTCGTTTTGATGGTGGCCACTGACCCCCAGCCAGCATCCTGCGGGATCGATCCACGCGAGTATCGCATGAGGCGAGACATCAGGACGGCACAATGGAAAGCTGCGAAGGGAGCTTTGGCTGTGAAGCAGATGCTGTCCGAAAGGGCTTGGGAAGGAGGTGACTCGCTGCGAGCGAGCTGCGCGACCTAGCTCAGAAGCACTGAAAACGACAGAGGATTGGCTCACCTTCAAAAGTAAACCCTGGGGTTCAGTCGCCACCACTAAAGCAATGGCTGGGTGTTTTTTTTAACCACCACTCTTTGCTGTTCGGGATTGTCATCTAAATTGGG